GTTTAAAGTGTACCTGTCATTTTGCATAAACTATATTCTGCACAGAAAAACCGGTTGAAGCCCTTGGTTTATGTTGAGATTAAGCCCTGGTTCACATATATGCGGCCGCGTTTTGCGCGGGCACGAGAGCCTATTCATTTGAATGGACTCCCGTGCCCCGTGACACACAGAGAAAGAAGTCCCTGTACCTCTTTGGAAACCGCAACCTCGATTCTCAGTGCAGCTGCGATTTCTAGTGCGGGCGGTGTGCCATTAGAATTAATGGCACCTGCCCGCAGGTCCGCATTCTTTTGTGCGGGTGGTGCAGCTGCACGGATTTTCATGCAGAGCACCACCTGTACAGATGTGAACCTAGCCTTAGTGTATTCTGAAAGGGTTACTCCACCAAACATTAAGGCCTTGTGCGGACTGGGCGTTTTTACAGCAGCTGTTTTTAGCTTTTGGCGTGTTTTTTTTTCTACAGCCAGTAAACCCCCCAACATGTTATCCTATGTGTCCATGCACACATAGACTGGAATCAACGTTTTCTGGCAGGGGAGTTTTCTGGCTGGAAAAAAAAAACCCAGAACTAGTGGGTTTCAAGAGCAGTTTTTCAGCTGGTAAACACGGTTAAACGTGGCAAACTGGCATTTTTGAGCCCCCAATTTTTTTTTTTCATGTGCTAAAAATTGCTAACGTCAAAAAACAGCTAAAAGCGGAAAAAACGTAGCTAAACGCTAATGAGAAAACGCTATAAAACACAGAAAAACAGTGTGCATGAGGCCTTAGTGCCGCGGAGGCAATGTCTACATGCCGCACATAAGCACCCATGGACAGCCAAGGTCTCCGTGTTAGGAGCATGCTCATTGAATGCTCCCGACACAGTGACTGAGCTGTCAAAGACAGCTCTCCATTTCTAGTAAGCCATCATGCACACTTGATGTTTTCATAACGCTTGTAACGTTCGCTGTGCAAAGTCACGTTAAAAATGTGAGTTTTTCAGCTTTTTTTAGCGTTTGTGCATTAGCGTTTTGACGCGATAAGCTGCGTTTTCCCACTTTTTTATGCATTTGTGCTTTTTAGCATTTTGTTTAGTCAAAAAAATGTTCAAAAATGCCAGTTTGTAGCGTTTTGCTGCATTTTCCAGCGTTAGAGTGTTTTTACAGCTAAGAAAACTCCTCTAGAAACCAACTAGTTTTGTTTTTTTTTTTCAGCCAAAAAACGTTGATTACAGCCAACATGGGCATGGACACATAGGATACCATGCTGGGGGGGTTTATTGACTGTAGAAAAAATGTCAAACGCCAAAAACAGCCGCTGTAAAAACATCAAGTATGCATGAGGGCTAATGATCAGAAGCTGCTGGGACCACTGTGGCAGCCATGTGATCAGACAGTCTGTCTTGCCCCCCCCAGGGTGTAAAAACCCACCTAAAGGCAGGCCAAGGCAGGGTGGGAAGTAGTTAAACCCAACCGAAGAGTCACTTTATAATCCATGTTATGATTTGTGATTGATCTTTGCTGGGAAATGCTATAAAATATCATTTTGTCTCAGAGAAAACGGCAATTCCTGCCCTCACGCTGCAGTGCACAGTGCTGGCAGAGCTGAGGAACAGCCACAACCCCTCATCACAAGTATCCTTCAGGACTGGTTCACACTGATGTGATGCGACTTGGATCGCATGACGATGATAATAACATTGCTTCCAATGGTGCCCGTTCACATTAATGAACACAGCTGCAATGCAACTTTGGGAAGGGGTCATGTGCTACTTTGGTATGATTTACAGTGCAATTTGACCCCAAAGAAAATGCAAACCGCATCCAAAATGCAATAAAAGTTGCATCAAAGTCACACTGCAAAATGAGTCAAAATCCCATCACAATAGTGTCAACCAAGCCTAAGACTTGAATTTCGGTTGTATCTGTAAGACTAGATGGCTAGAGCACCCCACCGTCCTTTACATCAGGTGTCAAGAATCCCACACCCTCCCTAAGATCACCATGTACCCTCTTTGGGGGCAGAGCTGGAAAGCAGAAAGTGCAGGGTCTGGAGGAGGACCAGAGGAGTCAGTTACAAGAGTCTGCCGAATGCTGAGACCAGGGGAGGCAGAGTTGAGGGGGTGTAGGGATGAGGAGGGTTTGGCAGATTTGTTCTATTCTCCTCTCTGCTGAGACAAGGTAGGGGTGGAGACAAGGGGGTACCTGCAGGAGAGGTCCAAGGGCCACATGAAATGGCCTGGAGAGCGTTTTGACACCTGTGATGTATAGTCTTTATAACTTCTATGGTAACACTAAAAAAAGAAACATCTTAATTGGAAGAACCGAATGCAGCTTCTCCTCCCCCGACCCTCATCTGCAGCATTATGTCTACTACTGAAGTCCTGGTGCCCTTGAATGCTGGCGGATCATGCAAGCTTCACAAACAATTGAGTCAAGATAGCTTCAAGTACCAGAATGTTGTGAGCAATAATACATTTTTAAAAAGCCTCCTACGATTGACGAAACTTGCAATCTATTGTTGGCACAGAGACACCACCAACGTCAAAATGCCTCCACCACGTCATAAAAAAAAAAAAAAACACCCACAGCAAGAGGAACCCACGTCAAAACTTCGCACGGACCACGATGGGACATGTACAGACATCACGGGAACAACATACCGATCCAGAAGCTGTATAATCTCACGGCACGAAATTACACAACGACCCGAAAAAAAGAGCAGCATAGTCTGAGATCACAAAGTACACGGCACGCACGTGTGAAGACTAAGAGGAAACCTGCACACAGACACTCCGGAAGTTGTCAGTCACAATTCCACAGACAAGCAGGACCACCAGACGTCACGTCGTAGACCGGGCCACAGCACTGCATACGTCACAATTCAACTACACATACTGACCCACAACGAGCGCTACAATCTTACGTCACACTATACACTGATAGAGACCCTGACAGCTGGAAAGCGTGGGAAACTGAGCACAGAGAACACGGCCATGTTCAAAAGTGTCCAGAAAAAATGTCAACCAGTGGGATGAAGATGCAGGTTATTGGTTGCCCAAGGCAGAGCTGGTGTCAGATGTTGACCAGAGTGTGGCGTACGGTACATTTAATGGAAATGTTATTGATGTTCTATTCAGGGGTGGGAGAGCCTACTTCATTTTGGGGAGGCTTTACAGCCTAATGACCCACCATGACACCAGTTCTGGCTCAGGTGCTCCATTTTAATGACATCTACAATCTGATTGGTTGCCTGGTGCAGCATACTTTCCTCGAGCTCTTATCACTAGTTGAGAACTGAATTTTGTACCACGGTAACCAATCAGGTGCTTGTTTGCATTGATGGCTCAAATGTAATTAGTTGCCAAGTATAGCATACACTCCTTCAACTCCCATAACTTGCTGAAGGCTGAACTCTGGTCCATATCAACCAATTAGATGCTCCGTTACAATAAAAGCTGAAATTTGATTGGTTGCCCAAAGCCACACACTCTCAGCTATCCTCAGTTTGAGAGCTGAACTCTAGCCCATGGCAACTAATCAGTGGTTCCTTTACAATGAAAACTGGAATTTGATTGGTTGCCAAGAAGTAAATGCTCTTCCATCTCTCATCCCTTGTTAGGAACTAAACTCTGGCCCTTGGCAACCAACTAGGTGCTCCTTCACAATGACAACTGCAATTTGATTGGCTACAAAGACCAGCAAACGTTCTTCCATCTCTCATCGCTTGTTAAGAACTGAACATTGGCCCTTGGCAACCAATTAGGTGCTCCTTTAGAATGACAACTGCAATCTAATTGGCTACCAAGACCAGCAAACGCTCTTCCATCTCTCATCGCTTGTTGAGAGAACTGAACATTTGCCCTTGGCAACCAATTAGGTGCTCCTTTACAATGACAACTGCAATTTGATTGGCTACCAAGACCAACAAACGCTATTCCATCTCCCATCGCTTGGTGAGAAATTAACATTTGCCCTTGGCAACCAATTAGGTGCATCTTTACAATGACAACTGCAATTTGATTGGCTACCAAGACCAACAAATGCTCTTCCATCTCTCATCGCTTGTTGAGAACTGAACAATGGCCCTTGGCAACCCATCAGGTGATCATTTACCATGACAATTGCAATTTGATTGGCTACCAAGACCAGCTCTTAACACTTGCCAAAGGCTGAATGATTAGCTTTAAATCTGATCCAAAAGCAGACTTCCTGGTTCATCTGGAAGATGACATCTGGCTGTTACAGGTCCTCTTTAGCTTCCGTTGCATTGGTCAGCCCCATCAGGGAATATGCATGGAAACTAAAGGAAAAACCCACAGCAGCTGGCTGTCTGGCTTCAGGTGAAAGTTGACAGACCACTTTTTGTTTTTCATGGCAACCAACCATCTTTCATTCTATGGGTGACTGAAACAAGAGATCTGATTGGCTTTCCTAAGCAGCATGGACATTTTTTTTTCCAGACACTTTTGCACATGAGGACCAGTGACTGTTCCAACAGGGGAACCAAAGCTGGAAGGTGTTGATGGCTTTGCAGCCTCTTGTCTTCGTAATGGCTGAGGGTCAGAGTGCTTAGATGCTGGGTCGAATGAGGCATGGCGAGACCCTATCACCAAGTGTCACCTCCCCTTAACTGCAGATACTCAGATGTGGACAACCTATGTTCCCTGCCACAGAACCCAAACTGTGATATTATGGAGCCTCCTGAACATCACGCATTAATGTTCCTCCTCTGCTTACGGTAATCTTTGGGTTACTTGTGCTTTGGGAACAGATTGTGAAGGAGGAGGGGCAGGGGATCCAGATTTCTCACACCCCTAAGATTGCGCCTCTGTCTTAGATTTGACTATGGTAATGACGCTCGTGGCGACCACTTTGCCGGGGATGAGTGGCCTGACTCCAGGTGTTATTGGTCCTCTTGAAGGAGTAATAGGGCTGCGTGCGACAGTCCTGGCAAAGTTCTGCAGAGCTTCGTACTTCGAGCGAAGAGAGTCCAGTTCAAGGCGCATGCTGGGCGTTCTCCGAGGCCAGCTTCTCTACCTCTTGCTGCAGCTCCGCTTTCTGCTTCTCCAGCTCCTCCTTCTGGGTGACGCGTTTCACTCTGCAGCTAGCGGCATAGCCTCTGTTCTTAAGGGTGCGCCGCCGCTGCTTCAGTTGGATGATTTCCTCTTTGGACAGGCCACGGAGATGTTGATTCAGCTCCCGCACAGACATGGTGACCAGTTCTTCATCAGTGAGACTCGTGCCATTTTCCCCCGGCTCTCTTTTCACCTGTGTGTAAAACAGATGGTGTCAAACCACGCAGGTATACATCTCCCCGGACCCTGCATTCACTATATCTGGCCTCCCCGGACCCTGCATTCACTATATCTGGTCTCCCCGGACCCTGCATTCACTATATCCAGTCTCCTTGGACCCCGCATTCACTATATCTGGTCTCCCCGGACCCTGAATTCACTATATCTGGTCTCCCCGGACCCTGCATTCACTATATCTGGTCTCCCCGGACCCTGTATTCACTATATCCGCTCTCCCCGGACCCTGCATTCACTATATCTGGTCTCCCCGGACCCTGCATTCATTATATCCCGTCTCCCAGGACCCTGCATTCACTATATCCGGTCTCCCAGGACACTGCATTCACTATATCCGGTCTCCCAGGACCCTGCATTCACTATATCCGGTCTCCCCGGACCCTGCATTCACTATATCTGGTCTCCCCGGACCCTGCATTCACTATATCCGGTCTCCCCGGACCCTGCATTCACTATATCCGGTCTCCCCGGACCCTGCATTCACTATATCTGGTCTCCCCGGACCCTGCATTCACTATATCCGGTCTCCCCGGACCCTGCATTCACTATATCTGGTCTCCCCGGACCCTGAATTCACTATATCCGGTCTCCTTGGACCCTGAATTCACTATATCTGGTCTCCCACAGTACACAGAACATGGAAAATCAATTAATGTAGCAAATATAAACTGCTAAATACCTTTTCTCATCAGCAGTATATAGCAGTCTTGTGACTTCTATCATAACGGTATCATATGTAGACACTATGGGGTTTATTTATTAAAACTGGAGAGTGCAAAATTAGGTGCAGCTGTGCAAGAAACCAATCAGCTTCCAGGTTTTTGTCAAAGGTTAACCACTTCCCGTCCGACCCATGTACATAAACAGCTGGATGGGAGCAGTACAGGAGCGGGTGGCCGTTTATAAACATCCTCCCGCTTCCCTGCTTATGCAGGCTCTCTGGGAGCGTGCGGCACCGCGATCCGGGTACCCCACTGTGTCCGGAAGACACCGATCGCTGTACGGGACCTCTGTGTGAGGTCCTGATCATGTGATCACTGAGTGGCCAATCAGTGATCACATGAATAGTAGTAAGCAAGATGTCACTTCTGACATCATTGCTTACTACGTATGAAATCTGTGAATGATCACAGAGGTCACATGGTACAGGGCTATTCACAACAGCCTTGTACCATGTGACAAGCTGTGACCAATCACAGCTCGCACAGTATTTCTCAATGGCTGTAAGAAGGCAGCCAGAGAGGAGAAATTATTGCTTTTACAGCCTTTATGGGTGACAGCATGTTAAAAAAAAAAAAGAAAACAAATAATAATATAAAAAAATTAAATAAAAATTAAAAAAATGTTGAAAAATTATAATTTTTGGTTATAAACTAATTTGGGCTATTTTTTACTAAAAAGATAGCTGAATACATTTTGGCCAAGATTTATGAAGAAATATTTTTTATTTGCAAAATTTTATAAGAAAAAACACTTTTTCAAATTTTTGGACTTTTTCATTTCATGCTGGTATTTATTCACACCAGCAAAAAAAATTAAAATCCCAGTGGTGAATAAATACCACCAAAATAAAATTTATCTGTCTCTAAAAAATTCATATGGGTACAGTGTTGCATGACCGCGCAATTGTCATTCAAAGTGTGATAGCGCTGAAAGCTGAAAATTGGCCTGGACAGGAAGGGGGTGAAAGTGTCCGGACTGGAAGTGGTTAAAGTGTAATGTTGTATAAAAGATGATGTGTAAAGCCGGCCATAAACGGGTTGAATTCCGAAAGAATTTTCTTCCGAAAATCTTTTCTAAGAATTTTCGTTCGAATTTCACACCATTAGTGGGTCAGAGAAAAGGACGATTTTTGTGTGACCAACGAATTTGAGTGATCCGGCATGTTTGAATTTTTTTGAAAAACAAACGAATTTTAAATCAATGATGGGAGGATCATGCAAGAAATAAAAAGCAGTGACCTGGAAAGAAAATACAATTCTTGGCCACGACACTTCTTTTCTGTAGCAACATGGGGAGAAATTGAAGGGTTGGTTGGTTGAACTTCGAAATCAATGACGGCATCATCGCATTACAATAAGCACGAAATTTCCGATTTTCTAAAGAAAATGTGTTCAGAATTCGACCCGTGTATGACCTGCATAAGCCTCAACACATGTACAAAGATTTCATCATGACTTGCATCTGCCTTACAAAACATATCTATACTCTTACTGCAATCTTTCCAGATCTCTGTAATGGCAGAAGTCCTGACCAAAAGGGACAAAGAAAACACTCTAAACAAGAAAAATAAAAAAAGGACAAAAAAAAAAAAAGCAAAAAAAAGCTTAAAGTGTCAATAATCCCCAGACCCTGCATTCCCTGTATCTTGTCTCCCCGGACCCTGCATTCACTATATCTGGTCTCCCCGGACCCTGCATTCCCTGTATCTTGTCTCCCCGGACCCTGCATTCACTATATCTGCTCTCCCCGGACCCTGCATTCACTATATCTGGTCTCCCAGGACCCTGCATTCACTATATCTGGTCTCCCCGGACCCTGCATTCACTATATCTGGTCTCCCTGGTCCCTGAATTCACTATATCTGGTCTCCCCGGACCCTGCATTCACTATATCCGGTCTCCCCAGACCCTGCATTCACTATATCTGGTCTCCCCGGACCCTGCATTCACTAGATCTAGTCTCCCCGAACCCTGCATTCACTAGATCTGGTCTCCCCGAACCCTGCATTCACTATATCTGGTCTCCCAGGACCCTGCATTCCCTGTATCTGGTCTCCCCAGACCCTGCATTCACTATATCCGCTCTCCCCAGACCCTGCATTCACTATATCTGGTCTCCCAGGACCCTGCATTCACTAAATCTGGTCTCCCCAGACCCTGCATTCACTATATCTGGTCTCCCCAGACCCTGCATTCACTATATCCGCTCTACCCGGACCCTGCATTCCCTGTATCTGGTCTCCCCAGACCCTGCATTCACTATATCTGGTCTCCCAGGACCCTGCATTCCCTGTATCTGGTCTCCCCGGACCCTGCATTCACTATATCCGGTCCCCCAGGACCCTGCATTCACTATATCCGCTCTCCCCGGACCCTGCATTCACTATATCCGGTCTCCCCGGACCCTGCATTCACTATATCTGGTCTCCCCAGACCCTGCATTCACTATATCTGGTCTCTCCAGACCCTGCATTCACCATATCTGGTCTACCAAGACCCAGCATTCACTATATCCGGTCTCCCAGGACTCTGCATTCACTATATCTGGTCTCCCAGGACCCTGCATTCACTATATCCGCTCTCCCCGGACCCTGCATTCACTATATCTGGTCTCCCCGGACCCTGCATTCACTATATCTGGTCTCCCCGGACCCTGCATTCACTATATCTGGTCTCTCCAGACCCTGCATTCACCATATCTGGTCTACCAAGACCCAGCATTCACTATATCCGGTCTCCCAGGACTCTGCATTCACTATATCTGGTCTCCCAGGACCCTGCATTCACTATATCTGGTCTCCCAGGACCCTGCATTCACTACGTCTGGTCTCCCAGGACCCTGCATTCACTATATCTGGTCTCCCAGGACCCTGCATTCACTAAATCTGGTCTCCCAGGACCCTGCATTCACTACGTCTGGTCTCCCAGGACTCTGCATTCACTATATCTGGTCTCCCAGGACCCTGCATTCACTATATCTGGTCTCCCAGGACCCTGCATTCACTACGTCTGGTCTCCCAGGACCCTGCATTCACTATATCTGGTCTCCCAGGACCCTGCATTCACTATATCTGGTTTCCCCAGACCCTGCATTCACTATATCTTGTCTCCCAGGACCCTGCATTCACTATATCTTGTCTCCCAGGACCCTGCATTCACTATATCTGGTCTCCCCGGACCCTGAATTCACTATATCTGGTCTCCCACAGTACACAGAACATGGAAAATCAATTAATGTAGCAAATATAAACTGCTAAATACCTTTTCTCATCAGCAGTATAAAGCAGTCTTGTGACTTCTATCAGTGTTCGGCCGAGCACTGGTTAAAGCTTGTAAGAGGAGTTTTCATTCTCCTCTGACTGTCCTATGAGGCTGCCTGACCCTGACGCTCTGTATGGACAGCACTGATAGGCCCTGTACTGATCACATGCACCCTCCCAAAGAAAAAAAAACAACTCACTAGCAATACACACTAAACCAAGCATGTGCAGAGTGACTCCTAGAGCTCTGTACTATCAGCAGATGGCTTGGGGACAGTAGAAGTAGGGGAGGATCTGAGAAGACAGGATCAAACAGCCTTTTTTACACAATGCGGAGGATTAACTCCTTAGATTCCACAGTGAGTATAACAAGCATGCTTTATTGCATCTACAGACTGATTCTACTGTTGTGGGTTTAGTAACGCTCTAATTGAACAAGCTGAAGTTAGAAGCTGATTGGCTGCCATGCGCAGCTTCACCAGATTTTGCACTCTCCAGTTTTAGTAAATTAACCCCCATGTGCCCACGTTTCACTGTTATGAGATTTGTTCACAGCACAGCAAAAAAAACAAAAAACAACTGTGCGGAGTCATACATTGCACTCTACTGTACTGTGTGCTGTGGTGCCATTGACAATGAAGGACACCGCAAGGCATCGCACACAGAGGTGTGTTGGCATGCGTCGTGGCCATGCACGTTTCTAGCGTGCGTTGCTGCCACGCATAAGTATGAATAGGTCCATAGAAATGTCAAAAACTGGTAAGATGCAATATATTACATTCTGCTCTTGGAATTAGAAACACTTTAAAGTGTAAGTAAACCCCAACAATGAACTTCTCTTCTTTCCTCCGTTTTGTTCTGTATCTGTTCAATAAGTGCAAAATAAAAAAATACCACATGATCCTGCCAGTGGAATAGCTAGCCTATCTGACACCCGGGGCTGATCATTTCTCAACCCCCACCCCTGCACACACAACCCCAAAAAAACTAGATAAAGGAGTAAAGTGGTAGGTGCAGCGTGCCGTGCCAAATTGTGGGTGTGGCCAAATGGAACAGTGGGAGGGGCTTAAAGAGCCTCAGTCAAATAAGACCTGAGCCTAATCACTGTACACACAACATACGTATGCCACATTACTTGTACCTGTTCCAGCTGACTGCTGGAAAACGTAGGTTAAAAAATGTTTGTTTAGCCGCGTTTATGTGCGTTTGCGATTAGAAGCATTTTTTCTAAATATAAGCACAGGAGAACCTCCCAAATGCCCAGAATGTACTGAAAAGTGGTAAATTATTAACTATTTCAGACTGTTTCAGAGAAGTACAGAGAGTAGAAGCAGAGACAGCAGTATGTGTTGAGATCATCTTAGGTGTGAGTTGCTCATTAACATTTCTTCTGTTTCCATGGGTGGGAAAGGTGTCTGGTGGAGGGAGTCATTAAGGCCACCTGGCAGGGGGTCTTCATGAGGAATTTGAGGTGTGAATGGTCATTAACATATCTTTTGTTTCCAAGGGGTGGGAAAGGTCTGAGGTGTGAATTGGTCATTACAATGTGTGACAAGCTTGGTAGGAACATCCTGTGTTCAGTGTTTTGTCCATCTGAGTACATTGAAAACACTTTGCATGCATTGTTCATGATGAAAAAAGGCTCTGGACAGCATCAGGAACTGGAAGAGTTAAAAAAAAAATTTCAGACGCAAACACTTACAAATGTGATTTGCCATGTTTAGCCACGTTTACAAGCGTTTTGCATTTGAAACGCTGCTAAAATCAACTGCTGAACGCAAGTTTTCTGTGTTCAAAAAAACGACTGTAAACTCAAATGCCTGTAAACGAAGATGTGTACATGGGGAGTTCAGGGGCTGCTGAAAAAAAAAAAAAAACGCAGAACAGCTCCTAAACGTGAGTTTATCAGCTGCAGTGTACATGGGCCACTAAAGCGGAACTTCCCCTTTTGGGTGGAACTCCGCTTTAAGGAGAGGAAGAAGGGGGGAGTTGTTCTGTAGTGCTGAACTACTTTCTGTCCTTGTGTGACAATGCTGCTCCTCCATAGATACAGAATGGCAAGCAAGCGTTGTCACCCTACGACAGAAAGTGAGTTAGGCCGGCCATACACGGGTTGAAAATTGACCGATTTTTAATCAGAAAATCGGACCTAAGAATAATCGGCTAATTTTCACTCTGTTAGTGGGTCAATGGCAGCGGCCGATTTTCATGGTTCCTCCCCTTTTTGGTGATCGGGCATGTTGGAAAATTTGTGAAAAATGGACGATTTTCCACTCAATGATGGTCCAATCGTACGATCGTTTTCCGTAAAGAATATGCGCATGAGCCGTGACCTGGAAGGAACAAAAGTTTTGCCTGTTATAGGGGGTGAACTTTATGACTTGGTCGGCCGATTTTTGAAATCAATGATGGCACCATCGGATTACCAAGCGAGCGACGTTTCCGATTTTTGGACGAAAAATTGTTCGGAATTCGAACCATGTATGGCCTGCATTACTGCATAACTTTTGCATATTATATGGGGTGAACTTTTTGACTTGGTCGGCCAATTTTTTAAATCAATGATGGCCCCATCGGATTATCGAGTGAACAAAATTTCTGATTTTCGGATGAAAAATCGTTCGAGATTCGAACCACGTATGGCCTGCATTACTGGCCATGACTTGGTTGGCCAATTTTCGAAATCAATGATGGCACCATCGGATTACCGAGTGCACGACGTTTCTGATTTTCGGACGAAAAATTGTTCGAAATTCGAACCATGTATGGCCTGCATTACTGCATAAGTTTTGCATGTTATATGGGGTGAACTTTATGACTTGGTCGGCCGATTTTCGAAATCTATGATGGCACCATCGGATTACCAAGCGAACAACGTTTCCGATTTTCGGACGAAAAATTGTTCGGAATTCAAACCATGTATGGCCTGCATTACTGCATAACTTTTGCATGTTATATGGGGTGAACTTTTTGACTTGGTCGGCCGATTTTTTAAATCAATGATGACACCATCGGATTACCGAGTGAACGAAATTTCTGATTTTCAGGTGAAAAATCGTTCGGGATTCGAACCACGTATGGCCTGCATTACTGGCCATGACTTGGGTGGCCGATTTTCTAAATCAATGATGGCACCATCGGATTACCGAACGAACGACGTCTCCGATTTTCAGACGAAAAATCGTTCGAAATTCAAACCATGTATGGCCTGCAATACTGCATAAGTTTTGCATGTTATATGGGGTTAACTTTATGACTTGGTCGGCCGATTTTCGAAATCAATGATGGCACCATCGGATTACCGAGCGAACGACGTCTCCGATTTTTCGGAAGGAAAATCGTTCGGAATTCGAACCATGTATGGCCTGCAATACTGGCCATGACTTGGGTGGCCGATTTTCGAAATCAATGATGGCACCATCGGATTACCGAGCGAACGACGTCTCCGATTTTTCGGACGGAAAATCGTTCGGAATTCGAACCATGTATGGCCTGCAATACTGGCCATGACTTGGTCGGCCGATTTTCGAAATCAATGATGGCACCATCGGATTACCGAGTGCACAACGTTTCTGATTTTCGTATGAAAAATTGTTCGGAATTCGAACCATGTATGGCCTGCATTACTGCATAAGTTTTGCATGTTATATGGGGTGAACTTTATGACTTCGCCGGCCGATTTTTGAAATCAACGATGGCACCATTGGATTGACGAGCGAACAACGTCTCCGATTTTTCGGATGAAAAATCGTTTGGAATTCGAACCATGTATGGCCTGCATTACCGGCAGGATCACCAGGTGAATATAAATAACCTGAAAACAGAAAACGAATGCAGCCACCACATCAAAAGCCCATAGGCTGTAACACATGGCATGTTTGTTCTTATGTTTACACACGCTTTAAATGCCAGCTGTCATTCTGACAGCTCGTAAAAGCTAGCGACCAAAAGCAGACATTCCACCACCTTTTCCGGCGGCCGCACTCCTCTTACCTTCAGAGCTTTGCTGTTTCCCTTGCTGATGAGAGTCGTCATGCCCTGGGAACCGTGTGTCAGCAAACTAGAGAGACAGAGAGCAGTCAATGTGTGAGAATGACCTCAGCAGACACAGTTCACAAATAATTCCCTACGCTGCGCCCTTCATCTCCGCTCACCCAGCGCTGTCCATGGGACCCGAGTCCTGGCAAGCCACCTCCACTAATGAGGACTTTCCCTAACAGCGGACGTACACCAATAACAATCCCCCGGGGGGGGGGGGAACCTAACTTTAAAAATAATCTGGGAGGGGAAGAAGTGCTGAGCAGGCGAGTCATGCTGAGTCAGCAGAGTGCGTGTATCAGACGGCAGCATGCAGTATCCTGTGTGTGATATATATACATACATACAAAGCCGGGAGCAACACCGCCAGTCGCCTTTTTTTTTTTTTTATCGGAAGGCAGATCTGCTGATCTTACAAGTAATACCCAGAATAGTCTGTGAGGGCGGCTGGTTACCTCTCTACTATCTATACGCTGCTAAAAATAACTCCACAACAACAACAGCTGTGATAATGGAGAGGTGTCCCGTGGCAATGGACGGCGGTCTCTTCTGTTCGATTCTTCTCCCATCGAATGATTTCTTCATCAACGAGGCGAAGACTTTTAGACGGACAAATAGGATTGCAATTTAATGGGCCGTTCCAACTTCTTGTATGTCGGCTTTTGTTAGACCATAGGGGGATTGCTATAAATACCAGCCTGCAGAATAAGGCTCCATGGACACTTCTGACCGATGGAAGCTGACTGCTGGAAGACTTAGGTTAACCTCCCTGGAGGTATTCCCGAGTGTAGCTCGGGGTAAAGTTTCAGTACCACAAGCGGTAACCCCGAGCTACACTCAGGAATACACTGCGGCTGCTCCGCGATCCCTCGATCACTTACCTTGTCCTGCGCTCCCGCGATGTCCCTCCTGCAGTGTCCCCTGTAATGTCCAATGCCGGAATCTGTCACCTGGGTTCCATCCCCTGCAAGCGTCTGGACGTATGGGGACGGAACTGGCGGGAAATTTGAAAATGACAAAAAGTGACATTCACTACCGTATTTTTCGCTCCATAAGATGCACCTGACCATAAGACGCACCTAGGATTTAGAGGCAGAAAACAGGAAAAGAAAATTCTGAACTAATGGACTGCAGACAGTACAGGAGATGACCAGAGACTGCGGACACAGTACAGGGGATGACCAGAGACTGCGGACACAGTACAGCGATGACCAGAGACTGCAGACACAGTACAGGGGATGACCAGAGACTGCGGACACAGTACAGGGATGACCAGAGACTGCGGACACAGTACAGGAGATGACCAGAGACTGCGGACACAGTACAGGGATGACCAGAGACTGCAGACACAGTACAGGAGATGACCAGAGACTGCGGACACAGTACAGGAGATGACCAGAGACTGCGGACACAGTACAGGGATGACCAGAGACTGCGGACACAGTACAGGAGATGACCAGAGACTGCGGACACAGTACAGAGAGACCAGAGACTGCGGACACAGTACAGGGGATGACCAGAGACTGCGGACACAGTACAGGGGATGACCAGAGACTGCGGACACAGTACAGGGGATGACCAGAGACTGCGGACAGTACAGGGGATGACCAGAGACTGCGGACAGTACAGGGGATGACCAGAGACTGCGAACAGCACAGGGATGACCAGAGACTGCGGAAAGTACAGGGGATGACCAGAGACTGCGGACAGCACAGGGATGACCAGAGACTGCGGACAGCACAGGGATGACCAGAGACTGCAGACACAGTACAGGAGATGACCAGAGACTGCGGACACAGTACAGGGATGACCAGAGACTGCAGACACAGTACAGGAGATGACCAGAGACTGCGGACACAGTACAGGGATGACCAGAGACTGCGGACACAGTACAGGAGATGACCAGAGACTGCGGACACAGTACAGGAGATGACCAGAGACTGCGGACACAGTACAGGGGATGACCAGAGACTGCGGACACAGTACAGGGGATGACCAGAGACTGCAGACATAGTGCAGGAGATGACCAGAGACTGCAGACAGTGCAGGAGATGACCAGAGACTGCAGACAGTGCAGGATATGACCAGAGACTGCAGACAGTGCAGGAGATGACTGCTGACCTTTGGGGAGGTGGGGAGCGGGTACCTGAATTTGACAGGTACCCGCTCTTACTTCCGCGGAGTTGTTCTTTGATCTTACCTGTTCCTCTATCCAGCCGCGCGCTGTCTACCCGGCTTCTGTAGTGTCGGCGCTCGGCGGACAGCCGGATGCCCAGTGCACATGAGCGAGAAGCGCTGCGCTTTGTGATTGGTCCGGCGCCTTCTGGGATCTGTCATGTGTCCCAGGTACCGCCTTACCATTCACAAAAAGCACCGCTTCTCGCTCATGCGCACTTGGCACCCGGCTGTCAAGCCCAGCTCCCACACTACAGAAGCCGGGAAGACAGCGCGCGGCTGGATAGAGGAACAGGTAAGATCAAGAACAACTCCGCGGAAGTAAGAGCGGGTACCTGTCAAATTCAGGTACCCGCTCCCCACCTCCCCAAAGGTCAGCAGTCATCTCCATAAGGTCCCTCTGCAGAGCTGAGTGGCCGGCCCGGTATTCTGACACGGCGGCGGTGGAAATACCGGACCGGCCGCTCCATATTCGCTCCATAAGACGCACTAACATTTCCCCCCTTTTTTGGGGGGAAAAAAGTGCGTCTTATGGAGCGAAAAATACGGTAAATACACTAAAATCACATAGTATAACATTCCTAGATTGTATGCTCGAAAGAGCAGGGCCCTCGATCCCCTCATGTTTTGCATTGTATTGGTATTGTTCTGTCACATGTTCTGTCCCCCTTTGTAATGTAAAGCGCTGAGCGAACTATTGGCGCTTTATAAATACTGTATAATAATAATAATAATAATAATTCCTGTATCAAACCATTTCACATACATTTTGTCCCGAGTGCTTTGTCCGGCGCCCCGCCTGCATTTTTACTGTTCTTTCTGCCTGGAAACTGAGAAACGTCCATGGCGTCCAAAAAGCGTCCCTTTAGGTCAAAAGCGGTTTTAGAACAGCTAGAGAACAGCGATAGTAAATCAGAACCACTTGCAGAATTGAGTGATAATGATTCGTGGGGGAAATTCCTCATCAGACACTGAAAACGATTCTGCGACTTTGCTCAGTGATGTGCGAACTTGGCGCTCTATTTCAAATTTCAGTGTTTTTGGTTTGATTATATTATTGAATTAAATTTATTATTATTATATTATTATTTTTTATGATTATTTATTAAATTATAATTTATGATTTCGTGTTTCAAATTTTATCATACCCGGGATGTTTACTAGACTCTTGTTCGGACAGATTTCAGGGAGTTATTCCTAAAAATTACAGCCTACAATAAAAAAAATACGTATTTCCATGCAAAAAAATGTACCGCTTTCAGCACAGAAATATGGACATAATCAGACTGCTAGGAGGTTAAAAAAACATCTGTTTAGTCACGTTTGCATACCGCATGTATGACCGTTTGCGTTTAGAAGCGATTTTTAAAGATAACCTCAGGAGACCGTGCAAAATGCCCAGAATGAGCTGAAAATAGTAAAAAAAATAACTATTTCAGACATTTTGAGAGAAATAGAGAGAGCAGAAGCAGAGACAGCAGTATGTGTTGAGATTAGCTGTCTTTTTTTTTTTGTGGTGTTTGGATGTGTTCCAGCTCATTTCTGTGCAGAAATTATTGCAGCAGTGTCTAACATATTTTCTTTCATGTGAAACCTCAAAGTATGGTGTACCGGGTCCCTTTAAGTACCGGGAAAACGCTTTGCATGCATTTTTCATGATTATTATTATTATACAGGACTTATATAGCGCCGACAGTTTGCTCAGTGCTTTACATTATGGAGGGAGACAATACAGTTCAGTACAAGAGGGATTAGAGGGCCCTGATCCTGGGAGCTTACAATCTAGGAGGGAGGGGCTAGTGGTACAAAAGGTAACTAGCTGTGGGGGATGGAGTGGTTGGAAGAGTAGCGGATTCCAGTATTAGTATTATGATGACAAAAGGCTCTGGACAGCATCTGGAAATGGAAGAGTTGAAAAAATTTTCCAAACACAAACGCTTATAAATGCGGTTAGCTGCGTTCACACACGTACCGGGTCCATTTGAATACATAGAAAACGTTTTGCATGCATTTCTGATGATGAAAAAAGGCTCTGGACAGCATCTGGATATGGCACAGTTAAAAAAAAAACGCTTCTAAACGCAAACGTTTATAAACGCAAATAAACGCGGTTAACAGCATTTACATGCATTTGAAACGCTGATAAAATCTACTCCTGAACACAAGTTTGGTGCGTTAAAAAAAACAACTGTAAACTCAACTGCCTGTAAAGGACGATGTGTAGATGGACTCATCGGAAAACATTAGGGAGAGTTCAGGGGCTGCTGAAAAAGATGCAGAAAAGCTCCTGAACGTCAGTTTATCAGCTGCAGTGTACATGGAGCCTAAAGATCATGGATTGGACTTCTTACCACCAGCTATTCAAGATTACTATATTCCATATGCTGGGATATACAGTGCCTTGGAAAAGTCTTCACACCCCTGGAAATTTTCCACATTTTGTCACGTTACAACCAAAAAACATCATGTATTTTATTGGGATTTGATGTGATAAACCAACACAAAGTGGTACATAATTGTGAAGTGGAAGGAAAATAAGTGGTTTTCAAATTTTTTTACAAATAAATATCTGTAAAGTGTGATGTGCATTTGTATTCGGCTCCATTTACTCTGATACCCCTAACTAAAATCTAGTGGAACCAATTGCCTTCAGAAATCGCCCAATTAGTAAATAGAGTCCACCTGTGTGTAATTTAATCTCAGTATAAATACAGCTGTTCTGTGAAGCCCTCAGAGGTTTGTTAGAGAACATTAGTGAACAAACAACATCATGAAGGCCAAGGAACACACCAGACAGGCCAGGGATAAAGTTGTGGAGAAGTTTAAAGCAGGGTTAGGTTATGAAAAAATATCCCAAGCTTTGCACATCTCACGGAGCACTGTTCAATCCATCATCTGAAAATGGAAAGAGTACGGCACAACTGCAAACCTACCAAGACATGGCCGTCCACCTAAACTGACAGGCCGGGCAAGGAATGAATACAAATACAAGCTGCACTTTTCTGATATTTATTTGTAAACAATTTTGAAAACCATTTATTTTCCTTCCACTTCACAATTATGTGCCACTTTGTGTTGGTTTATCACATAAAATCCCAATAAAATACATTATGGTTTTTGGTTGTAATATGACAAAATGTGGAAAATGTCCAGGGGTGTGAAGACTTTTCCAAGGCACAAATGACAGTTACATAGGCCTATGAAGAAAGGTATAAAGTCCAATGCTGGGAGGAGGAGCAGGGGGCAGTGAGGACATCAGGTTCACACCTAAGCATTTTCTGCAGCGTTTTGCAGAGACACAGTACAGTCCATTTAACGTGATTTCCTATGGGACGGGTTCACATCTCCACGCTTTCACCTGCTGCGTTTTTTGGAAAGGGTCAGAGACTTTGAACGCCAAAAGTTGCGTTTTTGGTTCTATAGACTTCAATGGAAATGCTGCAGAAAAGCAATTAGTGCGTTTTTGATGCAATTTAAATCTGCCTAGCAACAAGCAAATAAAAAAATAACCGCAAAATGCAGCAAAAACACAAAACGCAATGCAGAATTGGATCAAGCGCAAACTGCATAGCTGTGAACCGAGCCGTACACAGACAAAGTCATGGGATGCGTACATACAGATCAATCTTGTTTTCCAGATTTTTAAACTCTTCACGCCGGCGCCTCCCGGCCCTTTAAGGGGTTTCAAATGCAGGGAGGCAGGGTTTTAGGATCATGTGACCATTGTGATTTGCTGTCATGGCGGTCACATGATCGGAAAAGTGCTCGATCGCAAGGGGAGATTGGGACCTTTCCGTGAGACACCGACATACAGTATATTATAGGGGTACATAGATGAGGATTATAGGGGTACACAAGCAGGGGGTACATAGATGAAGAATATAGAGATATAGGGGTACATAAGCAGGGGGTACATAGATGAGGATTATAGGGGTACACAAGCGGGGGGGGTACCTATGATGATTGGGGAGATGGGGGTACTGATGATGACGATGGGGGGAGGGACGGGGTACTGATAATGATGATGAGGGAGGGGCAGGGTACCAATGATCAAAATAGAAGGAGGGGTACTGATGATGACGATGGGGGAGGGGCAGGGTACCAATGATGATATTAGGAGGAGGGGTACTGATGATGACGATGGGGGTGGGGCAGGGTACAAATGATGATGATGGGAGGAGGGGTACTGATGATGACGATGGGGGTGGGGCAGGGTACCAATGATGATGATGGGAGGAAGGGTACTGATGATGACGATGGGGGAGGGGCAGGGTACCAATGATGATGATGGGAGGAGGGGTACTGATGATGACGATGAGGGAGGGGCAGGGTACCAATGATGATGATGGGGGAGGAGGGGTACTGATGATGATGATGGGGGCGGGCAGGGTACCAATGATGATGATGGGAGGAGGGGTACTGATGATGATAATGGTGGGAGGGGCAAGATACCGATGATGAAGGGGGAGGGGGGTGGATACTGATGATAATAAAGGGAGCAGCAGGGTACCAATGATGGTGGGGGGAGGAGCAGGGTACCAATGATGGTGGGGGGAGGAGCAGGGTACCTATGATGATGTTGATGATGATGGGGGAGGGGTGCTGATGATGATGATGGGGGAGGAGCAGGGTACCTAAGATGATGGAGGAGGGACAGAGTACCTATGATGATAGGGTAGGGGGTACCTATGATGATGATGATGGGCGATTGGGTACCAATGATGATGGGGGAGGGGTACTGGTGATAATGATGGGGGAGGGGCATGGTACCTATGATGATGGGGGAGGGGGTAGCTATGATGATGGGGGGAGGGGCAGAATACCTATGATGATGGTAGAGGGGCAGGATACCTATGATGATGGGGGGAGGGGCAGAGTACCTATGATGATAGGGGAGGGGGTACCTATGATGATGGGGGAGGCGCAGGGTACCTATGATGATGGGGGGGGAGGGGGTACTTATGATGATGGGGTAGGGGGTACCTATGATGATGGGGGAGGGAGTAGTCATGATGATGGGGGGGGGGTACTTATGATGGGGGGAGGGGGGTACTTATGATGGTGGAGGGACAGGGTACCTATGATGATGGGGGAGGGGGTACCTATGATGATGGGGGAGGGGGTACTTATGATGGGGGAGGGGCAGGGTACCTATGATGATGGGGGAGGGGGTACCTATGATGATGGGGGTGGGGGTACCTATGATGATGGGGAGGGGGTACCTATGATGATGGGGGGAGGGGGTACCTATGATGATGGGGGAGGGGCAGGGTACCTATGATGATGGGGGAGGGGGTACCTATGATGATGCTACAACATAAAATGACAGAAGCGGCACACACAGCACATTTGGTGAACCGGCAGTGACAGGGACACCCCCAGCCCGCACTCAGCCCCCCATCACCCCAGTAGTCACCTGTCAATCACAACTCCTCCCCTTCGTCTTCTTCTTCATGACCTCATCTCCCCGGTGACGTCACGCTCTCACTGTGGGAGGAGCCCGGGGGGGCGCTCACGTCAGACCGGGCAGCCCCCGGTTAGATGATCATGTGACTCTCGGGCCCGGAAGTCGACGAACAGGTCAGGCGTGGAGCCCGAAACACTGAGTCCTCACGCCGGGGAAGACGTCATCTGATGTTTGGGTCACGTGATGCCATTGATGGAGCGCCGTCGGATCAGGGGGTGTGGCCACCTGACGTTGCAGTGCAGGGAAAGGCGAGCGTCTCTTAGCAGACCAGCGACACCTAGCGGCCGCACCGCCATCTTGTTGGTGGGCATGCTGTCAAAGCGCACCTGTCTTACAACGTCAGGTGGCACCGCTGTCAGTGTATGCTGGAACGATTTCCAGGGACGTTTTACCATACCTCACTGATGTCCAGGGACAGCCCCAGGCTTTAACCACTTGCTATCTGGATCAATTTTAACATTTTTCATACACTTGTTAAAAAATCTGCTAACCATGATGTCATTTCCATAAGCAGAGGCCCTGGAGAATAAACTGAGTGCTGTTGCAATTTATGTCACACAATATTGGTGCAGCTATTTAGAAAATGCTAATTGTTATGGAAAAAAAAAACACTTTAATGGATTTTAGTGCACAAACATAATATAATATCTAATTTTTGGGTAAAAGATGATGATGTTACATGAAAGGGGAATTTCACTCTCTCAAGCAACATGAACTATTTTCTTTATGTTGCTAGTATTAGTAAATAAATAGGAAAGTAGATCATATTTACTTGTTTTCACCTTTATTTTTTTAATTCAATTTCTTCAGCAACTTCCTGGTTTCTGGCCTAGGCAAAGGATGCTCTACATCCCAGGAGTCTTCAGGAGGGGAAAAGGGGTTTTCTCAGCTATGCACATTCTCCTGCCTGCAAGCCTGAGCTAAGGGCACATAGATTCCAGGAAGTAAACAATACATGAACCATCTGCCCTCACTCAGGATGGCCACAGGCAGAAATGTTGTTGGGTTGGTTGTTTAGACATGTGTGGTTTGTATTGTTTTGAATCAAAATTCATCCGGAAGTGTTGTTATTCAGAGATTCGGCGGTATCTAAATTTCCAAATCTCAATAGGATCAAATTTAAAAGAACCCGACAGAACAAAATAAAATTCAAATCAAATTTGAAAATTAAATCGACTTCAAATAAATTAAAAATGTAACCATATTGCTGATTTCCTTTACAGACTGTGTGTATAAGAATGTCTTCCAAATTTGAATTTCAAAAAGAATAGAAAACAGAATAGAATAAAATAGAAAGAATAATGTATAGCTGTCTTATATAATTCAAATTTCACAAAGAATATCATAGAATAAAAAAAAAAAATAGAATAGAAAATAAAAGAATAGGATAGAAAAAAATAGAATAGGATAAAATAAAAAGAATACTGTACAGCCATCTTATGTAATTCAAATTTTGAAAAGAATATCATAGAATAGAAAATAAAGGAATAGAATAGAAAAAAATAGACTATAATAAAATAGAAAGTATATAGCAATCTTCCAAACTTCAAAAAAATATTTTGAATTTCAAAAATGGCAAAGAAAATAATATTTTATACTTTCTATGAAACATACAATAAAAAAAATTCAAAATCAAATTTCTTTTTATAAATTTAGGCCAAAATGTATTCTGCTACATTTAGTAAAAAAAAAAAAATCCCAATAAGTGTATATTATCACTGGCTAGGAAGGTGTTAACATCTAGGGGAACTAACAATGTGTTTACCTTTTGGCGTTTTCACTAAGGAATGGGCCAGTTTTTTTTCTCCTGTCTTTCCACATTGCTGCAGTCAGTACAGAGCTCTGTGATGTTTAGCAACACAGAGCTCTCTGCTGTCATTTGCTCCGCCGATCAGCAGGTTCTGGCCATAAATAGTTGGCTAGAACCCGCTAATTGGCATGTGCTGGAGCGAATGGAAGCACAGCCGAGGGCAGCTAGAGCGCCCCCCACCCAGAAGACACATACATTTTTTTCCATACACGTAGTATTTTTACTGTGGGCCAGTTGGCAACTGGTTAAGGCATAACAAAAGACAAAAACATATTTCTCCATTTACATGAAGGTTTGGTTATTAACCATTTGACGCCCAGCAAATGCACTAGCTTTCCAGGAGGCCGCCATTTGGCGTATTCCCGCACATGCGCAGTTTGCGCGCTTGCAGAGCTGCGCAATCTGTCACCGGCCGTGTACCTCGGACACGGCCGATGACAGATCTGAGTATCGGCCCCCGTTGACAGTACCATGTGACCTGCTGTGACCAATCACAGCAGGTCACATGACAGTTGTATACAATGGATGGCTTAATTCATGCCATCCATTGTATACTAGTGTCTAGCTGTGAATGGTCACAGCTTATCACATGCACGTCATGTGATTAGCTGTGGTCAAATCACAGCTAAGCACAAAAAAAAAAAAAAAAACCCTGAATGAATCGATGTCATTCAGGTAAATGCTTGCTTATAGCAAAGTAATACTTTGCTATAAGCAAATTATGTAGAAAAAAAAAAATTATTGATAACTTCCCCAAAGTAGTACAATGTTACTATGGTAACATTGTACTACTTTGGACATAGTGAAATATGAAAAAAAAAGTAATAAAAAATTTAAAATAATAATAAAAAAAATATAAAATATATATATATATATATATATATATATATATATATATATATATATATATATATATATATATATATATATATTCTTTTTTTTTTATCTTTTTTTCCCACACTGTCACCAGTCAGTGTCCTTGATCACCGCCATGCCAGTTATATGAAGACGCTGTACTGCACTGGTGACAGTATGTGTAAAAAAAAAAAAAAAAGTGAAAATAATTTTTTTTGTTTTCATTTTCTGAAAAATGACAAAAAAAAAATACAACTTCAAAAAACTCGCCATGCCTCTTATGAAGTACGTCGGACTGTCTACTCTCTGCAAAAAGGGGTCATTTGGGGATATCTGTACTGTTCTGACATTCTTGGACCTCAAGAAATTAGATTGGCTGTCAGTACTTCAGGATTGATCAATTTTCAGATCTATACCATAGTTTGTGAACTCTATAACTTTCCTACAAACTAAAAAATACATCCTAATTTGGGTTATTTTCACCAAAGACATGTAGCAGAATACATCTCAGCCTAAATTTATGAACAATTATTTATTTGTAAACTTTTATAACAGAAACAAAGAAAAATGTGGTTTTTTTTTTCAAAATTTTTGGTCTTTTTTTGTTAATTTAGCAAAAAATAAAATCCCCAGCGGCGATTAAATACCACCAAAAGAAAGCTCTAGTTGTGTGAAGAAAATGATAAAATGTTAGTTTGGGTACAATGTTGTTGTATGACCGCGCAATTGTCATTCAAAGTGTGAGAGCGCTGAAACCTGAAAATTGGCCTGGGCAGGAAGGGGTAAAAGTGCCCGGTATTGAATTGGTTAAACACAGCACATAGCTTCCCTTTGCATCAGATTCTGTAGGGTGCCCCTTTACAGTGCAAGGGAGAACTCTGCAGACCCTGATGTAAAAGGGAACACTGTGGACTGTGATGTAAAGGAGAAATCTGTGGAGTCTGATGTATGAGGGAATGCTGGGGACTCTGCAGAGCCACAGAGCGTCCCTTGACATCACAGTCCACAGCATTCCCCATACATCAGACCCCAGAGTTCCCACTTACATCACACTCCACAAAGTTCTCCCGTACATCAGAGTCCAGAACTACCCTTTACATCAGAGGCCACAGGGTCCTCCTTAGAGTGTTAGGGGGAAATCTGCAGACCCTGATATAAAAGGGGGAACACTACAGAATGTCTAGAATATAAAGTGGAACTCTGCTGTAAGGGGTCACCAGAGCACCCCCTTCTTTACACAAAGAGCCCACAGAGTTCCCCTTTACATCAGAGTCTGCAGGATTTTCCCTATACAATGCAATGGGGAACTTTGCAGACCCTGATGTAAAGGGAAACACCGCGGACCCTGATGTAAGGGTGAATGCTGTGGTGTAAAGGGGAACTCCAATGTAAGGTGGTCTCTGGTCATCAGAGCCCACCTACATCAAAGTCCACAAGGTGGGGAGACCTTTCACAGAGTGAATACTCCAAGGTAAATGGGGGGGGGGGTTACAGTTACATTAGTGACCCCATAGAGACTGTGTGGCCTGGCTGGAGTAATGTCACACAGGAGGGTGTCTATGGGAAGGTTGGACCATTCTTCCAGAAGCACATTTGTGAGGTCAGGCACTGATGTCGGGGGAGGAGGCCTGGCTCACAGTCTCCGCTCTAATTCATCCCAAAGGTGTTCTATGGGGTTGAGGTCAGGACTCTGTGCAGGACAGTCAGGTTCCTCCACCCCAAACTGGCTCCTCCATGTCTTTATGGACCTTGCTTTGTGCACTGGTGTGCAGTCATGTTGGAACAGGAAGGGGTCATCCCCAAACTCTTCCCACAAAGTTGGGAACATGAAATTGTCCAAAATGTCTTGGTATGCTAACGCCTTAAGAGTTCCTTTATTGGAACTAGGGGGCCAAGTCCAACCCCTGAAAAACAACCCCACACCATAATCCCCCCCTCCACCAAACTTTACACTCGGCACAATGCAGTCAGGTAAGTACCGTTCTCCTGGAAACTGCCAAACCCAGACATGTCCGTCGGCTTTGCCAGATAGAGAAGTGTGATTGGTCACTCCAGAGAACACGTCTCCCCTGCTCTAGAGTCCAGTGGTGGCGTGCTTTACACCACGGCATCCGACACTTTGTATTGCACTTGGTGATGTAAGGCTTGGATGCAGCTGCTCTGCCATGGAAACCCATTCCATGAAGCTCTCTGCGCACTGTTGTTGTGCTAATCTGAAGGCCACACCAAGTTTGGAGGTCTTTAGCTATTGACTCTGCAGACAGTTGGCGACTTCTGTGCACTGTGCGCTTCAGCATGCGCTGACCCCGCTCTGTCATGTGACGTGACCTACCACTTGGTGGCTGAGTTGCTGTTGTTCCCAGTTGCTTCCACTTTGTTATAATCCCACTAACAGTTGAGCGTGGAATATTTAGTAGCCAGGAAATGTCACGGATGGACTTCTTGCACAGGTGACAACCTATCACGGGACCATGCTTGGAGTCACTGAGCTCCTGAGAGCGACCCATTCTTTCACCAATGTTTGTAGAAGCAGTCTGCATGCCTAGGGGCTTGATTGTATATACCTGTGGCCATGGAGGGGATTGGAACACCTGAATCCAATGATCTGGAGGGCGGGGCCAATACTTTTGGCAATATAGTGTATATTCATAAATGTTACCAGATTCCCCATTTAACCGATTTCCCGCTGCCCTATAGCAGATACTGCTACAGGCGGCGGCAGGGTGCGCAAAAATCACATACACACACACGATTTTGCATTTCCGGGTTGGGGGCCATTCACGGCTGTCAATCTCTGGGTCCCAGCTGGTGATTACCTGCCGGCACCCGGTGATTATCGAGCATCTCCGATGGGGAGGAGGACTCTTTTGTTTAATAACAGTTCTCCTCCCTGTCAACTTGGGCACACTGCTCTGGATGGCTGTACACAGCACAGCCATCCAGAGCAGAGTGAATACATTGAAGCACACTGACATTGCCCCCCCTAGTAATAAACTCCCTGCACACAGTTAACCCTTTGATCAACCCTCATGTTAAGCCCTTCCTGCCCAGTGCCATTAGTACAGTGTCATTGCTTTTTTTTTTTTATTTTTTTATTATTTTTTTTTAGCACTGATCACTGTATTGGTGTCACTGGTGAGGTCAGTGACACCAAGTCAGTCCCCCCCCCCCAGTATCAGAATGTCCGCCGCAGTCCCGCTTTAAGTCGCTGATTGCCGCCATTACTAGTAGAAAAAAAAAATTCCAGTATCTATACCGCCATTTATAAACGTTATAACTTATCACGTAAACCAATTAATTTACACATATTGGGATATTTTTTTTAACAAAGACATGGAGCAGAATTCATTTTGGCCTAAATTTATGACGAAATTTGATTTTAAAAAATTTTTTACTGGACGTGTTTAATAGCAAAAAGTCAAAAATATAGTTTTCTTCTCAAAATCATTTTTTTTTAAGCGCAAAAAATAAAAAATGTGCAGGTGATCAAATACCACCAAAAGAAAGCTCAATTCGTGGGGAAAACAAAGATGTAAAATTTCATTTGGGTGCAGCATTGCATGACCGCGCAATTGTCAGTTAAAGTAACGCAGCACCGTAACGCAATAAAATGTCCTGGTCAGGAAAGGGGGGGGGGGGTAAATCCTCAGGAGGGGAAGGGGTTAATGAAACACAATAACAAGTGGTATATTTACAATTTTTTTTCCCAAGTCCAAATGTAATAAATCATTTTAAACCGTTGGGTTAGCAATAAAGTTTTTTAAAACATTTAAAAAGTATCTTCAAATCAACTTCTGGACATTTAAAAAAAAAAAATTTATAAAAATAAAGAAGATCCAATAGAACAGAAGGCAGGACAGACATGCACATACAACGTTCACATACCCCCAGAGCCCGTTCCAGACTGGCCCAGGCCTGCGCTAACCTGGACAGCCATCATCAGTTCTCGGCAGAAACAGGTTCACCAAAAAAACAAACAAAAAAAAAATACAAAAAAATCTACAGTTGACTGCTTACATACAACTATCATAATTACCCGAATCTGTCTTTATATCAGCTTCCTGTCTGCAACACAGCAGAACTCAGACTGGAAGAGGAAGGGGCAGCACTAGGAGCCAGTTAGGTGCCAACAGCAAGTATACATATGCAGATAGAAAAGCTGACCTGGCTGCTCCTTTAGGCCCGTCACACGGGGTGGACTCTGTCCACATGGAGCAGATCTGGTAGGCAGATACAGGTTCATGTCCATTCAGTTTATACAGAGCAGACACAGACAGAGTCGGCTGTGCATAAACAGACTGCACTGTCCCATTCACTCTACCATGCAGCAGATGGCTGCAGTGTGCTGCGATAAAATGCAGATATGCTGTATTTTATCGCAGCGAACTGTGCCAAATCACACAGCGCATTGTGCTGCTGTACATTGCCATAAATGAAGTGTATGTTTGGTACACTTCAAATAAAGTTTTTACAAAAAAAAAAAAAAAAAAAAGAAGGAAGGGTAGGTCTGGATTGCCCACCGCACTACACTCCACCGTAGGCGGTAACAGAGCTGCTGGAGCAGTGGATTGCTCCAGCAGCCCTATACTGTCAATTTACCCTTTGTGTGAAAGGGGCCTTCTTATCCAAATCAGCAGGTCATGAAGAGGAGGGGAAGTGACACCACTGCACTCCTTAACCCTTTTGCCACCTGAGCAATTTGGCCTTTTTTGGAAGTTAATGCAGATGCAGCAGCTGCAGGGAAACCGTCACGTCTAAATTGGACAGGCATGCAGAAGCAGATCCACAGCCGCATCGGGGGGCTGCAGACTCGCTCCTGCACTCCTGCAAGGTCCCAGCTTTTGCATAAACCTATGTCTATGGTCGTTGCGTCCTGCATAAAAATCTGATCATCATAACCAGAGATCTGCCGAGAACCAATCATAGCTGTCTCAGCGGGAGGACTCCTAGCCCTTCAGGCCCATGGAAGGGTGGCTCTTAGACTCTGTAGGTCCATGGCCTCACATACACGCCCTGTCCATCCCATCCAGCTGGTCTATGGCTTTGCCCTGGAATAGTTGGCCCCTCTCAGTATTTTCTTGCTCCTGGAGACTTGTTGTTGAACAGACTGACTTTCACCCCGTGGGAAGCGGTGGAAATCGTTGGAGATTCTTGCTGCACTTTACTGAGCGTCGTTTTCTTGATGGCGGCTGCTGGGATCTTCTCTTGGTCTGCATAAAGCTGGAGCTCTCTAGGGGGAGAAAGAAAATTTGATTTAAAAAAATTATATATATATATATATATATATATATATATATATATATATATATATATATATATATATATATATATATATATATACACACATATACATATACATATACACACACACACACACACACACACACACACACAGTGGGGGAAAAAAGTATTTAGTCAGCCACCAATTGTGCAAGTTCTCCCACTTAAAAAGATGAGAGAGGCCTGTAATTGGCATCAAAGGTAGACCTCAACTATGAGAGACAAAATGAGAAAACAAATCCAGACAATCACATTGGCTGATTTGGAAATAATTTATTTGCAAATTATGGTGGAAAATAAGTATTTGGTCACCTACAAACAAGCAAGATTTCTGGCTCTCACAGACCTGTACCTTCTTCTGTAAGAGGCTCCTCTGTCCTGCACTCATTACCTGGATCAATGGCACCTGTTTGAACTTGTTATCAGTATAAAAGACACCTGTCCACAACCTCAAACAGTCACACGCCAAACTCCACTATGGTGAAGACCAAAGAGCTGTCGAAGGACACCAGAAACAAAATTGTAGACCTGGACCAGGCTGGGAAGACTGAATCTGCAATAGGCAAGCAGCTTGATGTGAACAAATCAACTGTGGGAGCAATAATTAGAAAATGGAAGACATACAAGATCACTGATAATCTCCCTCGATCTGGGGCTCCACGCAAGATCTCACCCCGTGGGGTCAAAATGATCACAAGAACGGGGAGCAAAAATCCCAGGACCACACGGGGGGACCTAGTGAATGACCTGCAGAGAGCTGGGACCAACGTAACAAAGGCTACCATCAGTAACACACTACGCCACCAGGGACTCAGATCCTGCAGTGCCAGACGTGTCCCCCTGCTTAAGCCAGTACATGTCCGGGCCCATCTGAAGTTTGCTAGAGAGCATTTGGATGATCCAGAAGAGGATTGGGAGAATGTCATATGGTCAGATGAAACCAAAATAGAACTGTTTGGTAGAAACACAACTTGTCGTGTTTGGAGGAGAGAGAATGCTGAGTTGCATACAAAGAACACCATACCTACTGTGAAGCATGGGGGTGGCAACATCATGCTTTGGGGCTGTTTCTCCGCAAAGGGACCAGGACGACTGATCCATGTACAGGACAGAATGAATGGGGCCATGTATCGTGAGATTTTGAGTGCAAACCTCCTTCCATCAGCAAGGGCATTGAAGATGAAACGTGGCTGGGTCTTCCAACATCACAATGATCCCAAACATACCGCCCGGGCAACGAAGGAGTGGCTTCGTAAGAAGCATTTCAAGGTCCTGGAGTGGCCTAGCCAGTCTCCAGATCTCAACCCCATAGAAAACCTTTGGAGGGAGTTGAAAATCCGTGTTGCCCAGCGACAGCCCCAAAACATCACTGCTCTAGAGGAGATCTGCATGGAGGATGGGCCACCATACCAGCAACAGTGTGTGCCAACCTTGTGAAGACTTTCAGGAAACATTTGACCTCTGTAATTGCCAACAAAGGATATATAACAAAGTATTGAGATGAACTTTTCATATTGACCAAATACTTATTTTCCACCATAATTTGCAAATAAATTCTTTCCAAATCAGCCAATGTGATTGTCTGGATTTGTTTTCTCATTTTGTCTCTCATAGTTGAGGTCTACCCATGATGCCAATTACAGGCCTCTCTCATCTTTGTAAGTGGGAGAACTTGCACAATTGGTGGCTGACTAAATACTTTTTTCCCCCCACTGTATGTATATATATATATATATATATATATATATATATATATATATATATATATATACACACACATACACACACACACACACATATATATTATATACATACATACATACATACATATACACATACACACACATACATATATACACACACATACTAAAAGAGATCATTTCTGATTGGTCGGTACATACATCACTTTACTATAGACCGTGCACTGCCCTAAAGCTGAAGTTAATTTTGCTTCCCTTGGTTACTCTCACCCCCCTTATCCGCATCTCAATGCTTTTTTTTTCTTAATCCTTTCCAGCTTAAAAAAAAAAATAAAACACAAAACCCTGTAACACTTCATTCCTCCTAGGCAAATTGCAAGAGCGTCCCCCTCAAGGACTGCCACATCCACTTGACGCGTTTCACCCAAAGCTGGGAGAAATGCAACAGAGGAGATCGCGGAGCAAGCTTGGCTGGGGTGGCGGGTTTTTTTGCAACCACGTGCAGAGGAATGATGTGGAATTTTGAGGGTAAAAACAGGAGACGACATAGCACCTCCCCACCGCCTCTCAAATGCCCTCTGTAAAGCGGTCGACCATGGATCGCTTTTCAGAGGAGCATCTATGTTAACTGGAAAAGGCTCTAGAATACTTACCTCGGCCTCAGAAGTGTCAGAGGCTGGGGAGAAGGTACTTTTTTGTCAAGCAGTTTAAGAAGTGCTTTTTAAAGCTTTTTTCATTTTGGTAGGCAGGGGCTGGAATTTTGTTTGCCATGGAAAGTCTGCTTTAAAGGTCTGACATTCTTTCCTAATGTTCACTGCCAGGGGCAGACCAACAACTCATTGGGACCCCGGGCAATAGGGGATCATGGGGCCCGTGTCCTTGCCCAAACTCAAAAATGCTTATGAAAAAGGTACCAGGGGCATCTCATGGGGCCCCCTACTGACCCCGGGCCCTCGGGCAGTGCCTGAGTTTCCAAATGGTCAGTCCGCCCCTGTGCACTGCATACTATGGACCAGTGGTCTCCAAACTTTGCTTGCCTTTAACCGGTCTTTGAAGCATTTTTCACACCACAGTGGGGCACTATTCCTTCCACTGACACAAACGATGAAGCACTATTCCTCCCATTGACACCAATGATGGAGCCCTACCCCTTGCACTGATAACAAATGATGGGGCACTATCCCATCCACTGACACCACCAGTGGGGCATTATCCCTTCTACTGACACCACCAATGGGGCATTATCCCTTCTACTGACACCAACAATGGGGCATTATCCCTTCTACTGACACCAACAATGGGCATTATCCCTTCTACTGACACCAACAATGGGGCATTATCCCTTCTACTGACACCAACAATGGGGCACTATTCCTCCCACTGACAATGATGGGACACTATTCTTCCCACTGACAGATGTCAAGAGCCCCCAGTAATCAGAAGTCAGGAGTCCCCTACCCTCCCTTACATTACAGTGCACCCCCCCCCCTTACCTTGTGCTGCTGCTGGGAAGAAGCTGGGGGCAGAGGCAGGAAGAAGAAAGTGCAGGGTCTGAAGGAGGATCAGAGGAAGGCTGGAGTCTGCTTAACCCCTTGGCGCCGGCGCCTCCCAGCCCTTTAAGGGTTTCAGAAGCTGGGGCGGGGTTTTAGGGTCATGTGACTGCCATGAGTTGCCGTCACATGATCGGGTAAGGTCCCGATCGAAAGAGGAGATCAGGACCTTTCCATGAGTACCAGACATGTGTGCTGGGAGTGTACAGGGCGTGCGCTCTCAGCACATATGGTTTTTCTTAATAGGCCCAGACCCCGGGAGGCCGGGTGTGAAGAGATTAATGCTGCGACCAGGGGAGGCAGAGAAGAGGGGATGCAGAATCTGTAGGAGGAGTTCTGTCCTCCTTTCTACCCCAGGCTGCAGAGACAAGGTGGGTGCAGAGACTAGGGGTGTGCCATAGCTGCAGCAGAGGTGCGAGGGCCACATGAAATGGCCTGGCAAGCCAGATTTGGCCCGCGGACCTCGTGTTTGACATGTGCCCTGGGACAAATAGGTAGGGGGATTGTCAACAGGACAAGGAGGCTAAAAACGTTTATCCAAACTAAAAACAGTTTCAAGCGGAGTTGGACTTACTGCACCTTGCCTGCCACTGCAACAATTTCCCAGAAGGCATCAAAGCAGTGACATGCAGTTTAGTGTAACAGTTCTTACCAAGGCAAAATCTACGGCAATGAGAAAAGCAGAGAATTTTACGAGATAAAAGCCGTGCAGGACTTTAGCAATTTCACAACATCTGTAACTTTAAGGCCCCGTTTACAGTGCGCAGTGTTTTTTTTCTGTGTCGCGTGGTTTTAGGTACGCTACCATTATTATTACTGATTTTCATGAAGGAGCATCAAAGTCCTGCATGCTGCATCTTTGACGTGCTTCAATAAAAACGCATGTTCTAATAGAGTTTAGAGTTTGACCGCCTCCCGCCCGCCATATAGTCCAAGGACGGGCACAAGGTGCTTCGCTCGTTCTGGGAGGATGTCATATGACGTCCTCCCATTCTAAACCGCGCATGCGTGGCTCCGTGAGCGCGGCGATCGACAGTGCACTGTGTCCCTTGGACACATCGGATCACCGATCAACAGAAAGAGCCGAAGGTGTCGACTCGGTCATGTGATCAGCTGTGTCCAATCACAGCTGATCGCATGTAAACAGGGAAATGCCGTTTATCGGCATTTCTCTCCTCATGGGCCGTCGCGCTGACAGAGGAGAGAAGAGCCGGTAATTGGCATTCCTCGGAGGGGACATGTGCACTGATCATCAGTGTAGCCCCAGCAGTGCCACCTGTCAAGTGTTCATCAGTGCCAGCTCTCAGTGCTCACCATGCCACCTGTCAGTGTCCATCAGTACCAGCTCTCAGTGCTCATCCATGCCACCTGCCAGTGCCCATCAGTGCCACATTTCAGTGCCTACCAGTGCACATCAATGCAACATATCAGTGCTCATCTGAGCTGCCTTTCAGTGTCACCCATCAGTGCCACCTATAAATGCCAGTCAGTGCCACCTATCAGTGCTGCCAATCAGTGCCGCCTATTTGTGTGCATCAGTGCTGCCTATCAGTGCCAGTCAGTGCCGCCTATCAGTGCCATATATGAGTGCTGCCTTTCAGTGCCCATCAGTGATGCCTGTCAATGCCCATCACTGCAGCCTCATTAACGCACATCAATGAAGGAGAAATATCACTTATTTACAAACTTTTATAACAAAAACTTTTGTTTTCAACATTTTCAGTGGTTTTTGGTTTAAGAAAAAATAAAAAACCCAGAGGTGATTAAATACCACCAAAATAAAGGTCTGTCACAAAAAAAATGATAAAATGTCATATGGGTACAGTGTTGCATGACCGCGCAATTGTCATTCAAAGTGCGACAGCGCTGAAAGCTGGAAATTGGCCTGGGCAGGAAGGGGGGTATAAGTGCCTGGTAGGTGAGTGGTTAATGACCTAAAACATAAAAAATCTGTCGCTGAAAACTCACAATGCTCAGATGTGAACCCGGCCTAAAGCTGAATACTAGGAAAGCAGCCAAAAAAACACAGCTGAACTATGCAAGGGACCATTTACTTGTCAAATGGTTTACAATTCTGCCCAGAAAGTAATGTAGTCCAGACACCAATATCAGGCGCACAGTCAGAACCTGTACTACTGCAGCACAGCTTGGTCAAGACACACACCCCTAGTCTGTGACTGGATAAGAAAGGAGCAGCAGGATAGTGAGGTGTCGTCACTCTACTCGCACATCTTTTTCATATTATCATCTTTAATTTTTTTTTTTTTTCTTATTCTTTCAGGATATTACTGACTTGGTCCGGATGCAGGATGCTTCCACAGCATTGATGAGCAGGGACCGGAATCCTCCACTTTCCAAAAAGTGCAGAGCGTGAATGGTGGCGCCCCCTGGGGAGCAAACGTTATCCTTCAACTGCCCAGGATGCTGTTCTGATTCCAGCAGCATTTTTGCTGCCCCCTGAAAGATATGATTGATAGTGAATCTTCTGGTGGGTGGGTAGGTTGTCATTGTGAACAACAGTCAACAAAACATGTACCAACCAGCATGGCCTGAGCCCCGAGACGAACTGCAAGCCTTCTAGGCAGACCCATCTTCACTCCTCCATCTGCCAGAGCATCCAGAGCTGTGAATGCCTGCAAGAAAAAAAACAGAGAGAACTCAGAGCTGGAATGAAGATACATGAACTGCTATCTGGTTTACAAATTTAAAGGGTCACTCCACTCAAAACTGGTAGTTGCTGGACAGTCAACCATCAGTCTCTTTGGTGAGACTTCTATGCTGAATTGTAAGCTCTGTACACCGGCTGTACCCATTATGAGGGGTTCCCACCATCCTTGCACTGAGTTCCCGGGACTGTACACCTGCTATGCCCATTATGAGGGGTTCCCACCATCCCTGTGCTGAGTTCCTGGGTCTGTACACCCGCTGTGCCCATTATGAGGGGTTCCCACCTTCCCTGTGCTGAGTTCCCGGGTCTGTACACCCGCTGTGCCCATTATGAGGAGTTCCCATCATCCTTGCACTGCGTTCCTCGGTCTGTACACCCGCTGTGACTATTATGAGGGGTTCCCACCATCCTTGCACTGAGTTCCCAGGTCGGTAATAACAAGCATTACAAACCCATAATAAAACCATGGAAAGATATCACAGAGATAATTTCGATAGATATCCTCTACACTTGTTGGAGGTTCCCACCATCCACAGATGTATAGAGTTCCCGGGCCTGTACACCTGCTGTGCCCATTATGAGGGGTTCCCACCATGCCTGTGCTGAGTTCCCAGGTCTGTACACCTGCTGTGTCCATTATGAGGGGTTCCCACCATTCCTGTGCTGAGTTCCCAGGTCTGTACACCTGCTGTGTCCATTATGAGGGGTTCCCACCATCCCTGTGCTGAGTTCCCGGGTCTGTACACCCGCTGTGCCCATTATGAGGGGTTCCCACCATTCCTGTGCTGAGTTCCCAGGTCTGTACACCTGCTGTGTCCATTATGAGGGGTTCCCACCATCCCTGTGCTGAGTTCCCAGGTCTATACACCTGTGTCCATTATGAGGGGTTCCCACCATCCTTGAACTGAGTTCCCAGGTCTGTACACCTGCTGTGTCCATTATGAGGGTTTCCCACCATCCCTGTGCCGAGTTCCCGGGTCTGTACACCAGCTGTGTCCATTATGAGGGGTTCCCACCATCCCTGTGCTGAGTTAATGGATCTGTACACCTGCTGTGCCCATTATGAGGGGTTACCACCATCCCTGTGCTGAGTTCCCAGGTCTGTACACGCGCTGCGTCCATTGAGGAATTCCCACCATCCCTGTGCTGAGTTCATGGATCTGTACACCCACTGTGCCCATTATGAGGGGTTACCACCATCCCTGTGCTGAGTTCCCAGGTCTGTACACCCGCTGCGTCCATTGAGGAATTCCCACCATCTCGGTGCTGAGTTCATGGATCTGTACAACTGCTGTGCCCATTATGAGGGGTTGCCACCATCCCTGTGCTGAGCTCCTGGGTCTGTACACCTGCTGTGCCCATTATGAGGGGTTGCCACCATACCTGTTCCACCTGTTGGCTGGGGGGGGGGGGGGGGTTTGTGAAGGATCAGTGATCATGTGACCACTGTGATTGGCTGTCACATGATCAGAACCAATCGTTGTGTGGACCGACACCTGGAAGCGCACAGGACAGGGAGCGCACACTCAGCACAGAAACCTCGGCTACCCTCTGACACATATATGTGGCGTGTCAACGTTAAAGCTCACTCTTTTGTCACAGCACATATGTGTTCAATGGCAGGCGAGGTTCAAAGGATACAGAGCTTTGCCTTAGTAAGCAAAATCCTACAAACCATGCAGGAGGCATTCTGCGCCTTTTCACCATGAAGTGCCTTGCAGAATTATTAAGGCGTTTCCAGGTATTGTGAAGATGAATACATTTAAAAATCCTTGTGTTGAGGCAGAAGAACACTTCTTAGAAGCATGTATTGACAGGAGAAGACTTACTTCTATGGCGATTCTTTGTTAATCCACCATAATTCCCGTCTCATATTATACACCAAAACCCTGCTATTAAAACTGACAGGCGATCAGAAAATCAGAACACTCCATACCAAGCCATATAATGTATTCCCCGCACACACGGCAGGCTGACATGGAGCACAACGGCATTTCATCACATCGGGAAAAGTTTTGTCCCAAGCCTTAGGGCTCATGTACACGGGGAGTTTGGAAAACTCTTCTGAACGATGAAAACTGACTGCTGGAATACGTAGTGTAAAAAAACGTCAGTTGAGCCATGTTTGCATACCGTGTTTATGCGCGTTTGCGTTTAGAAGCGTTTTTAAACGATAACCTCAGGAGAGCTTCCCAAATGCCCAGAATGCACTGAAAAATAGTAAATAATTAACGATTTCAGACATTTTGTGAGAAATAGAGAGAGCAGAAGCAGAGAGAGCCGTATGTGTTGAGATTTCCTGTCTTTTCTGGTTGTATTCACTATGGATCCCATCATGAGAATTGTTTCCTGGAACTGACTGCACTGGTGTACCGGGTCCATTTGAATACATGGAAAACACTTTGCATGCATTTCTGATTATGAAAAAAAGGCTCTGGACAGCATCTGAATATGGAACAGTTAAAAAAAAAAAACGCTTCTAAACGCGGTTAACCGCGTTTACAAGCGTTTGAAATGCCGGTAAAATCTACTCCGGAGCGCAAGTTTGGTGCGTTCAAAATAAAATTAAAAAAAAAAAAAAAACTACTGTAAAAACTCAACTGCCTGTAAACGACGAGGTGAACATTAGGGAGAGTTCAGGGGCTGCTGAAAAAAAACACTCAACAGCTCCTGAACGTCAGGGCTTTTTTATATGTATACATACATGTTTTGCCTTTCATTTCTATTTTACAAGTAACATATACATACATGTGTGTGTATATATATACAGTGGGGATCGAAAGTTTGGGCACCCCAGCTAAAAATGTGTATTAATGTGCATAAAGAAGCCAAGGAAAGGTGGAAAAATCTCCAAAAGGCATCAAATTACAGATTAGACATTCTTATAATATGTCAACAAAAGTTAGATTTTATTTCCATCATTTACACTTTCAAAATAACAGAAAACAAAAAAATGGCGTCTGCAAAAGTTTGGGCACCCTGCAGAATTTATAGCATGCACTGCCCCCTTTGCCAAGCTGAGACCTGCCAGTGTCATGGATTGTTCTCAATCATCATCTGGGAAGACCAGGTGATGTCAATCTCAAAGGTTTTAAATGCCCAGACTCATCTGACCTTGCCCCAACAATCAGCACCATGGGTTCTTCTAAGCAGTTGTCTAGAAAACTGAAACTGAAAATAGTTGACGCTCACAAAGCTGGAGAAGGCTATAAGAAGATAGCAAAGTGTTTTCAGATGTCAATATCCTCTGTTCGGAATGTAATTAAGAAATGGCAGTCATCAGGAACAGTGGAAGTTAAAGCAAGACCTGGAAGACCAAGAAAAAATATCAGACAGAACAGCTCGCAGGACTGTGAGAAAAACAATTCACAACCCACGTTTGACTGCACGATCCCTCCAGAAAGATCTGGCAGACACTGGAGTTGTGGTACACTATTCCACTATAAAGAGATACTTGTACAAATATGGTCTTCATGGAAGAGTCATCAGAAGAAAACCTCTTCTACGTCCTCACCACAAAAATCATCGTTTGAACTTTGCAAATGAACATATAGACAAGCCTGATGCATTTTGGAAACAAGTTCTGTGGACCGATGAGGTTAAAATTGAACTTTTTGGCCGGAATGAGCAAAGGTACGTTTGGAGAAGAAGGGGCACAGAATTTAATGAAAAGAACCTCTGTCCAACTGTTAAGCATGGGGTTGGATCAATCATGCTTTGGGGTTGTGTTGCAGCCAGTGGCACAGGGAACATCTCACGAGTAGAAGGAAAAATGGATTCAATACAATTTCAGCAAATTTTGAATGGTAACTTGATGCCATCTGTGAAAAAGCGGAAGTTAAAGAGAGGATGGCTTCTACAAATGGATAATGATCCTAAACACACCTCGAAATCCATGGGGGATTACATCAAGAGGCGTAAACTGAAGGTTTTGCCATGGCCTTCACAATCTCCTGACCTCAACATAATTGAAAATCTATGGATAGACCTTAAAAGAGCAGTGCGTGACAGACAGCCCAGAAATCTCAAAGAACTGGAAGACTTTTGTAAGGAAGAATGGGCAAAGATACCTCAAACAAGAATTGAAAGACTCTTGGCTGGCAACAAAAAGCGTTTACAAGCTGTGATACTTGCCAAAGGGGGCAATACAAGATATTAACTCTGCAGGGTGCCCAAACTTTTGCAGACGCCATTTTTTGTTTTCTGTTATTTTGAAATTGTAAATGATGGAAATAAAATCTAACTTTTGTTGACATATTATAAGAATGTCTAATCTGTAATTTGATGCCTTTTGGAGATTTTTTTCCATCTTTTCCTTGGCTTCTTTATGCACATTAATACAAATTTTTAGCTGGGGTGCCCAAACTGTCGATCCCCACTGTATATATATATACACACACAAATTTTTTATATATATCTATGTATATCACACACAGGTTTTGCCTTTCATTTCTATTTTACAAGTAATTATATATAATATATAAAAAATAAAAAGTGTATATATATATATATATATATATATATATATATACACACACACATATATATATACACATACATACATATATATACACACACACACAAACACACACACACACACGTCTTAGATATATGTACATTTTTCTATTTTACAAGTAATATTGTATATATATATATTATATATAATTACTTGTAAAATAGAAAAAATGTACAAATATCTAAGACGTGTGTGTGTGTGTGTGTGTATATATATATATATATATATTTTTTTTTTTTTTTTTTACACACATATACATACATACACACTTTTTTTTTATGATTTACATTTTTATTTCAGACACTTTTAGGGCTTGTTCACACACACATTTGCAGGCAGAAATCTCTGGTGTACAAATCCCAGCATTTACCTGCGCCTGGCAATCCAATGGTGGTATGTACAGCCGGACACAGAAATGAATGGCTGTACATACTTCTAGTTAGGTAAACTTGCACTGGAGATCACACCCACATATTACATGTAAAACGTCTTCTCCACATGAGTAACTCATTTCCGCCTGCAAAACACCCATGTCTATAAGCCCTTATAGATGGGGCCACGCCTGTCTTCACACTTACATAAGCAGGTCCACTTCCACTCAATCCGGTCACAGCATCAATGAGATCCTCCTCCACCTCTGTGCAAAACCCCACACTCTGCATCAGCTGCTCCAGAAGCTTCCCATCTTCCAGTTCCGCGTGGGTCCCTGCGGCATATACTGTGGCCCCTTCACGTACGATTACAGGGGTATTGGTCATGCAGCGGATAACTCTGGGAGCTGGGTGAAAGGCGCTCAGTTTCTGGAAGGTAAAAGATGTAGAGTTAAACAGCTAAAAGGTTAGGACCAGGGGCGGACTGACAACTCATGGGGCCCCCGGGCAATAGGGGATCATGGGGCCCCTGTGTCCTTGCCCAAACTCAAAAAAGCCTATGAAAAAGGTACCGGGGCATCTCATGGGGCCCCCTACTACTGACCCGGGCCCTTGGGCAGTGCCCAAGTTTCCAAGTGGTCAGTCTGCCCCTGGTTAGGACTTTGTCCTTGAAGTTAAAAGAATACAGCTAAGTGTTTACATGGGAGTACAAGTCTCAACAATTGGTTTATACATTTCATTTCCTACTGTGATTCTCTGGCAAATGAACCCTTTCTAGAACTGTAACAGCAGTACTAATCATTTTGTTTAGACTAAGATCCTTTCTGGTCCATTGCCATTGTAAGTAGTCCATGTTTTTGTGACAATTAGCCTTGGGTCTTTAACGTCTGCTGATTACGCAGCACTGCAGCTCAGGCCTCTTCACTGCACACCTGCCTCAATAAGAAGGATCTAAATAGACTGCTGGACATTCATCAAGTGCCTTATAAAAAAAGGTACATCTATCTACTCATACTTTGGTTTCAGGTGTCAGGAATTAGCAGCATGGATGGCCAAATCTCAAGGAACTGGGACCAGTTGCTTTAAGTGAGATTTATTTACAGAGAGACCAAATCTATCCAAAAAACACATGCAAACAGCATACATAAAAATATAATGAATCAAAAACCCAGTGGCAGAATACCTGACTAATAACTAAAAAACAAAGCCAACTAAATATATAAAAAATGGTAAACACAGAAAATCATAGTAAAACTGGAGCTGCAAGGAACAGATGGGAAGGGGGGTGGGGGGGGGGGGGGGACCAAAACTGGGATGAGGAACAAGGGAAAACAGGTACAAGGCAGAAAGATACAGGGTACAGTGTACTTGGCAGGAGCAGGAACAAGATAACAGCTAGCAGTATCTGGCAGCAAGTAAAACATGGGGTGAGAGGCACTAGTAGGGAAGGACCCAAATACCTTCCCAGCAGCCAGCATCAGGTATAAATGGATTACTGGGAGACACCCACTGGTGAATACTGGAATTACAACCGTCCACCCACGGAACCTCAGTGCCACCATCCAGATCCTAACACAAGATCTGTATGCCTTCTGTCTGATTGTTCATGTTCTGGATTACCCGTGTGTTGTTTGGGTTGCATATGTAGTTAGCTCGTCTGTACTTATCCTGATCACAGTCCATTTTTCTGCTATTGTCAGTCATTGCTTGGTCTACTGCTCTGGAACATGGACTCCCTCTAGGATGGGTTGTTCGCACCTGATCTGATCATCAGCCTGTTGACTCTGCTAACTGTCTGCTCCAAGCACCCATATGAAGATCTGGACCACTCTAGCCACTTGCCGCCCAGCCATCGCATATAAACGGCGGCAGGGCAGCGCTCATAGGCAAAAGCACGTTTTAAAACAGCTGCCTTCAAAACAGGAAGGGGGCACGCGCGAGGCGCGCGCCCACCCTACCTGTCCCGCGGGTGTCAGCGGGTCTTCGCCGCCGCGATGAGCGGTGATCACTGACACAGAGCAGGGCTGCATTGTTTACACACAGCCCTGTTGTGTGACAGTTCGCCGACAAGCTGCAGAGGGAGAGAAGAGAGACAAGCTGCAGAGGGAGAGAAGAGAGACAAGCTGCAGAGGGAGAGAAGAGAGACAAGCTGCAGAGGGAGAGAAGAGAGACAAGCTGCAGAGGGAGAGAAGAGAGACAAGCTGCAGAGGGAGAGAAGAGTTTCTCTCCCTCGATCAGCTCCCCCCCTCCCTCCCCCTGTCCAGTACACACCCCCGCCCCCTAGTAAAACACTCCCCTTACACAGAAAATTCTAAAAATGTTAACCCCTTCCTCCCCAGTGACATTAGTACAGTTTCAGTGTTTTTTTTTTTCACTGATCACTGTATTGGTGTCACTGGGGAAGTCGCTGGTCGCCGCCATATGTCGCTGATTGCCGCTATATGTCGCTGATCGGCGCCATTATTAGTATAAATAAAAATTTAAAATCCCAGTATCTTTCCCGCCATTTGTAAACGCTATAACTTTCACGTAAACCAATTAATTTACATGTATTGGGGTTTTTTTTTTAGCAAAGACATGTTGCAGAATGCATTTTGGCAGAAATTTATGACTAAATTTGATTTTTGCATTTTTTTTTTTTTAATGAACATGTTTTATAGCAAAAAGTCCAAAATATTGTTTTTTTTTCCTCAAAATTGTCAGCCTTTTTTTTTTATAGCGCAAAAAATAAAAACCGCACAGGCGATCAAATACCATAGAAAGAAAGCTCAATTTGTGGGGAAAAAAAAGGATGTAAATTTAATTTATGTACCGTATTGCATGACCGCGCAATTATCCGTTAAACTAGCACAGCGCTGTATAGCAGAAAAATGGCGTAAATTGCAGTATCTATACCATAGTTTGTAGACGCTATAACTTCCACACAAAGCAATCAATATACACTTATTGGGATTTTTTTTTTTTTTAACCAAAAACATGGAGCAGAATACATTTTGGCCTAAATTTATAACCAACTTTGAGTTTACTATATATTTTTTATAGCTGAAAGTAAAAAATATTGTTTTTCTTCAAAATTTTTGGCCTTTTTTTGTTTATAGCGTGAAAAATAAAAAGTGCACAGGTGATCAAATTACACCGAAAGAAAGCTCTATTTGTGTGAAAAAAGGACGTAAATTTCGCTTGGGTGCAGCATTGCATGACCGCGCAATTATCAGTTGAATTAGTGCAGCGCTGAGTAGCAAAAAGAGGCGTGGTCATTAAGGGGGGGGTAAATCCCCAGGAGCTCAAGTGGCTAGTATCTATCCTGGCAGTTAGTCTGCTGTCAGCCCTGATGACATGGAGGGTCCTCCCAATTCCAATACGTTTTTCCTACCTTCAATAGTCTGAGCTTTAGAGGGCAAAGCAAAACACTGAATCTGATTCCCGCTTTAATTTTTAAAACTTAATTCAGACAATTATCAGGATTCATAAGCTGCTATAAGAAACACAAGAGGCCCAAAATGATTCTATCTTTACAAAATATCAAAGCTGCTTTACCTTCTCTATTGAGCCGATAGTGACACCGGCAGCACAGGACACCACCATGTGACGGTCCTCAATGTCAGTGCCAATCTCATCCAGCACAAAGGGAATGATGGGAGGTTTTACAGCCAAAAAAAGGACATCACTGTTCTTCACAGTCTCTTTGTTACTGGTGGTGAAATTTATACCCAATTTCTGGGGGGAAAAAAAGGAAAGAAATATTATGAGCATCAATGGCTTACCTCGGTATAATTCAGGACAAAAGTAGAATTAATCAGTCCTGTGACGACTGAGATTGAGCTCTGCAGTCACTTTTGCAGAAGTTGTTTTCTTATTCCAGGTCACAAACCTGCGTAATGTTCTTTGGTCTCTTTCGGTCAGTTGACATGTCGACTGCGCTATTGCTTATTATTATACAGGATTTATATAGCGCCAACAGTTTGCTCAGCGCTTTATAACAGGAGACAATATAATACAATATGGGGCAGCACAGTGGCTAAATGGTTAGTACTTCCACCTGGCAGTACTAGGGTCGTTGGTTCGAATCCCAGCCACGGCACCTCCTGCCTGGAGTTTGTATGTTCTCCCTGTGCCTGCGTCGGTTTCCTCCGGGTACTCCGGTTTCCTCCCACACACCAAAGACATGCTGGTAGGCTAATTGGCTCCTGTCTAAATTGTCCCTAGTATGTGTATGTATGAATGTAAGTTAGGGACCTTAGACTGTACACCCCTTGAGGGTTAGGGACTGATGTGAATGTACAATATATATGTAAAGCGCTGTGTAAATTGACGGCGCTATATAAGTACCTGGAATAAATAAATATCTCGCTGCTGGACAGCCAATAGGAAGTGGGAGGCTCATTCACATTAGCCACGTGCTACAACTATGTGTGTCCATTGTGGTAGTGCTTTGCATTGTTGTTATTTGCAAGGCACTGTTTTTTTTACTTTTTTTTTTTTTTTTACAGTTTTTAAAATAATACAGTTCAATACAAGAGGGTTAGGAGGGCCTGATCCTGGGAGCTTACAATCTAGGTAGGAGATTATCAGACACTTTCCCGGAAACTGCATGCGTTGTCATAACTTTTGATGCTGTACCTCCCGACATAACAAATAAATTGGCAACTTCAGTGTCAGAGGCACCAGCTAAACAGCACCAACAATTGGCTCTCTTTGAAGCTCAGTAAGCTCCGACATGACACTGTATTACTTGCAGCAAATTACAAAAGTGAAGCTTCCCACCTGTTAGCTAGATGTCTCATCACACAGCGGAAGGAAAAGAATGTTACATCACTTCCACTTTCAACACGAAACTTGTTGTCTCTTTCACATATGCAAATCATGTAGCGTTCCCATTTTTTTTGCCAACCCCTGTAGATCTAATGTCAAAAATGTAAAGCCACTGAAACAAATTAACAGCCAAGGAACCAGTACTTTCAGAAGCAGAGGTCAGCAAAGGCAGTCTCCACATTGTGTCCACTGGTCATTCGGTGCATAGGAATGAATTATATATATATATATATATATATATATATGAGTATATTAAAAAAAAGTAGCGGCAAATAACTGGTGTTTTGTACTTTGCGCAGACACTATTACGCGTTACCTCTTGTCCTCTGTATATTGCTCTGATATCTATTCTGTTTACTGCACCAATAAAAATGGATTAATCTGGAAATAACTGTGTCTGGAGCTTAATGGGTTTATCATCAGTGATTAGAGATATACAAGTTTGGGTATATATGAAGCAAAAAAAGGATAACAAAACCACAGAAGGCTGCATACCCAATCTCCACTGATATGTCCCGTGCCTCACAGTAACCTCACTCCATCATGGAGGTTTAATTCTGCAGACCATTGCTTATGGAGGTCAAAGTCCGAGCAGGAGAACATTGCATAGAGGAACTCCACAATCATTTTGATCTTAATCCCCCTTACACTGTCTGAGTAGAGCTATAATCGCATACTCAACCACCCAGTGAATCCAGCGTTTTCCTGCTGAGAATCCGCCAAAAGACCGCCACACAGTTGGTACCGCGCCTCCATCTTCTTTACTGATGTTGTCAGGAGGCCAGCGATCTGTTCTGAATCCAAGAAGTCGACCCACTGATGACGCAACATTGCGCATTCACAGCGTATTCAAAATAGCCCTGAAGCCTGCTAGTGTGTGAGTATTCCAGTAGGTTTTGGGCGGGGGTAGAGGGTGGGTGCAGTAATTCTCGCCTAGGTGAGAAAGGTGTAAAACTAGTGGTGCACTGAAATGAAAATTCTGGTAACGAAAATGCAAAATGCACTTGGCCGAAAACCGAAACTGAAATGCGCAGTTTTTAAAAATGAATATATATTTTTTAGAAAAAAATACACTTTGATTAAAAAAAAAAAAAGCAATATATACCCCAATATTTTTGTCAAATATGAAAGAGGATGTTACGGTGAGTAAACAGATACCAAACATGTCACACTTTAAAATTGCGCACGCTCATGGAATGACGTGAAACCGCAGTACTTAAAAATCTCCATGGGTGATGCTTTCAAAATGTCTACAGGTTAGCAATGTAAAGTTACAGAGGAGGTATAGTGCGAGAATTATTGCTTTTGCTCTGATGTTCATTGCGATCTCATGTGTGTGGTTTGAACACGATTTACATATGTGGGCATAGCCTATGTATGCATTCACCACTACGTGTGAGCACGGGGGGACAGGGGCACTTTAAACTTTTTTTTAAATTTTTTTTAATGTTTTTTTTTTTTGCACTGTCCCTTTAAAAAAAAATTTTAATCACTTCTATTCTTATCACAAGAAATGCATGCATCCCTTGTGATAGAAATAATTAGTGACAGGTCCTCTTTATGGAGAGATATGAGGTCAATAAGACCCCACATCTCTCCTCTACAATGATGATGGCGACCCTTTCTGAGGACGTGCTTTAGAATGAAACGCGTCAAAGGAGCCATCACGCTCAGTGTTTTAATACTTTGTCCATTTGTTGTTTTTTTAACCACTTGGAATATTTAATAAATTACACTTTTACAATATTACTACACTATGGGCAACTTCTTGTCTGGCTCCGTGGCGAGCTGACGTTCATTTGTAGAGCCCACCTGAATGATACGTTAGCAGTGGTTCAAGTGATATTACCCCAGAGGAGTGAACCGTTTTGTTACTGGCAGGCAAGCGTCCATCCATCCATTAAGGAGGCCTCTGGTTGGATCCTGTCCATACACCAAGGGAGACATCAGTATAGCTGTGTACCGCCCAGAGGGAGGATAACCCGTTAATATGGCGCAACCCATCCATTCCATCCTGAGAGGGTGACCTCTGTTTACATTATTTTGCGTATATAAAAAATACACATCTGGTGAGTGCGTATTTTTACTATATTTTCTTGGCACGCCACTGAAGTCACTATCAATTGATTCCTGTATGAAAACACTCTATCACGGACTGACATTTATTAACAGATTTTTTTATTTCTTAGGCTGCATTTTTATGACACATTAGCGTTTAAGGTTTTATTTGGTTACCTTTATGTGCTTTAGCGGCTAGACTATTATAGCGCTCACTGATCCTATTTTATTGCTAGAAGAAACATTGGGCCGACTCTTCCAGAGAGACCATTTGCATAGAGCCTGCCAATAATACAATAACTTCAAGCAGACAGATACTAAGAGCTGTGCAGCCCAAAGGTTAGCTTGCTAGTGACAGGTTCTCTTTAAAAAAAAAGAAGCAATTCATATTCACTATGAAAAAAATATATTTTTTCTTTTTAAATCTCACCCTTAGTCTAGATACAGTAGGCAGATCAGTGTCAGGGGAGCTTGCCGTGATTTTGTGTGATGCCAACACCCCTAAAAAAAGAAGGTGAGAGATTAGTATCAGAACCCTGCAGACACATGCTAGAGCCAAATAGTAGGCATGTGTAGGCAATCACCATTCAACTTTCAGCTGACATCTAGGTGTAGGTAAAAGGTCTCAATCCTTTATTACAGCTCTACAGATCCACTGAGAAACATTACCTGCAGCAGTAAAGCCCCTCACAAGGGCGTAAGTGAGCTGGCCTGCTCCGATAAATCCAACACTCATGATGCCTCTTGGTCAGGGCAAAAGCCGCAACGTTAGAATGGAGACTCAGAATACGGTAATACAAGTCCCTGAAAAAAAAAAGAAACAGTAAAGAGGACCTGTCAGAAGGGGTGATGTCAAAGATGGGGCCCCATCAAGCACTGGAGGCTAATATACACTCTTACATTTAATTGCTGAACTTTTAGGTAAACTACATGGGCAAAAGGATACGGAGTATCAAATCTATAGGAGCTTGTTGGACATGCCATTCGAAAAACCATGGGTATCAGTATGGGAGTTGCCCTCAACCCCTTTGTGGCTTTAACAACCTCCACCCTCCCGGAGGACTTGAGACGAGATTTTGGAGTTGGTCTCTGGGAGTTTGTGCCCATTCTGCCAAAAGAACATTTGTGAGGTCAGGTACTGATCTAGCTCATAAATTACATTCCAATTCATCCCAAAGGCATTCAGTTGGGTTGAGGTCATGGCTGTGTAGGCTAGTTGGGTTCCTCAGCACCAAACTCATCAAACCATGTTTTTATGGAGCTGGTTTTGTACACAGGGGCACAGTCATGGTGGAACAGTAAAGGACCTACCTCAAACTGTTACCACAAGATTAGAAGAGCACAATGATCTAAAATGGTAGTCACCACACTGCGGCCCTTTACTAGCCTCTATCTGGCTCTTGGGCACTATTCTTCCAACTGATATGAGGCACTATTCCTCTCAAGATCATCAACAGTGGGACATACTTCCTCCCACCGACACCAACAATGGGGGACCATTGCTCTCACCGACACCAACGATGGGGGACCATTGCTCTCACAGACACCAACGATGGGGGACCATTGCTCTCACAGACACCAACGATGGGGGACCATTGCTCTCACAGACACCAACGATGGGGGACCATTGCTCTCACAGACACCAACGATGGGGGACCATTGCTCTCACAGACACCAACGATGGGGGACCATTGCTCTCACAGACACCAACGATGGGGGACCATTGCTCTCACAGACACCAACGATGGGGGACTATTCCTCTCACAGACACCAACGATGGGGGACCATTGCTCTCACAGACACCAACGATGGGGGACCATTGCTCTCACAGACACCAACGATGGGGGACCATTGCTCTCACAGACACCAACGATGGGGGACCATTGCTCTCACAGACACCAACGATGGGGGACCATTGCTCTCACAGACACCAACGATGGGGGACCATTGCTCTCACAGACACCAACGATGGGGGACCATTGCTCTCACAGACACCAACGATGGGGGACCATTGCTCTCACAGACACCAACGATGGGGGACCATTGCTCTCACAGACACCAACGATGGGGGACCATTGCTCTCACAGACACCAACGATGGGGGACCATTGCTCTCACAGACACCAACGATGGGGGACCATTGCTCTCACAGACACCAACGATGGGGGACCATTGCTCTCACAGACACCAACGATGGGGGACCATTGCTCTCACCGACACCAACAATGGGGTACTATTCCTCTCACTGACACCAACAGTAGGGCACAATTTCTCCCACGAACACCAATGACAGGGCTCTTTTCCTCCCAACACCAATGATGAGTCACTATTCCTCCCTATGACATTAATGACAGGGATCTATTCCTCACAATGACACCAACGACGGAGCACGATTCCTCTTACTAGCACTATTTCTCACACTGATACCAATGATGGGGCGCTATTCCTCTCACTGATACCAATGATGGGGCGCTATTCCTCCCACTGATACCAATGATGGGGCACTATTCCTCCCACTGATACCAATGATGGGGCACTATTCCTCCCACTGATACCAATGATGGGGCACTATTCCTCCCACTGATACCAATGATGGGGCACTATTCCTCCCACTGATACCAATGATGGGGCACTATTCCTCCCACTGACACCAATGATGGGGCGCTATTCCTCCCACTGACACCAATGATGGGGCGCTATTCCTCCCACTGACACCAATGATGGGGCGCTATTCCTCCCACTGATACCAATGATGGGGCGCTATTCCTCCCACTGATACCAATGATGGGGCGCTATTCCTCCCACTGATACCAATGATGGGGCGCTATTCCTCCCACTGATACCAATGATGGGGCGCTATTCCTCCCACTGATACCAATGATGGGGCACTATTCCTCCCACTGACACCAATGATGGGGCACTATTCCTCCCACTGACACCAATGATGGGGCACTATTCCTCCCACTGACACCAATGATAGGGCACTATTCCTCCCACTGACATCAATGATGGGACATTATTCCTCCCACTGACACCAATGATGGGACACTATTCCTCCCACTGACACCAATGATGGGACACTATTCCTTCCACTGATACCAATGAGGGGGCAATATTCCTCCCACTGATACCAATGATGGGGCAATATTCCTCCCACTGATACCAATGATGGGGCACGATTCCACCCACTGATACCAATGATGGGGCACGATTCCACCCACTGATACCAATGATGGGGCACGATTCCACCCACTGATACCAATGATGGGACACTATTCCACCCACTGATACCAATGATGGGACACTATTCCTCCCACTGACACCAATGATGGGACTCATTATTCCTCCCACTGACACCAATGATGGGACACTATTCCTCCCACTGACACCAATGATGGGACACTATTCCTTCCACTGATACCAATGAGGGGGCAATATTCCTCCCACTGATACCAATGATGGGGCAATATTCCTCCCACTGATACCAATGATGGGGCACGATTCCACCCACTGATACCAATGATGGGGCACGATTCCACCCACTGATACCAATGATGGGGCACGATTCCACCCACTGATACCAATGATGGGACACTATTCCACCCACTGATACCAATGATGGGACACTATTCCTCCCACTGACACCAATGATGGGACACTATTCCTCCCACTGACACCAATGATGGGACACTATTCCTCCCACTGACACCAATGATGGGACACTATTCCTTCCACTGATACCAATGAGGGGGGCACTATTCCTCCCACTGATACCAATGATGGGGCACTATTCCTCCCACTGATACCAATGATGGGGCACGATTCCACCCACCGATACCAATGATGGGGCACGATTCCACCCACCGATACCAATGATGGGGCACGATTCCACCCACCGATACCAATGATGGGACACTATTCCACCCACCGATACCAATGATGGGGCACTATTCCTCCCACCGATACCAATGATGGGGCACTATTCCTCCCACCGATACCAATGATGGGGCACTATTCCTCCCACCGATACCAATGATGGGGCACTATTCCTCCCACCGATACCAATGATGGGGCACTATTCCTCCCACCGATACCAATGATGGAGCACTATTCCTCCCACTGACACCAATGATGGGGCACTATTCCTCCCACTGACACCAATGATGGGGCACTATTCCTCCCACTGATACCAATGATGGGGCACTATTCCTCCCACTGATACCAATGATGGGGCACTATTCCTCCCACTGATACCAATGATGGGACACTATTCCTCCCACTGATACCAATGATGGGACACTATTCTTCCCACTGATACCAATGATGGGACACTATTCCTCCCACTGACACCAATGATGGGGCACTATTCCTACCACTGATACCAATGATGGGACACTAATCCTCCCACTGATACCAATGATGGGGCACTATTCCTCCCACTGATACCAATGATGGGGCACTATTCCTCCCACTGATACCAATGATGGGGCACTGTTCTCCTTCAAATAACCATAGGTGCCATATAATTATTTTACTACCACTCACCATCAAACCTGAAGGATTGTTTTCTCCTACTGATGCTGGGGCATTTTCTACCCCCACTGGTCACAAACCACCACCCCAAAGTCTGAAGGTCCCCCATAAAGTCTGGTCTAAAACAGCTTTGTATGTTGTAGCATTACCAGTACCCTTCTTTCACTGGAACATCTGAACTCAGTTATTTGGAAGGGATTCCATAGAATTTTGGCCATATAGGTGTGATAGTCAGGTATGCACAAACTTTGGCCACATTTACCATGGCGGTAAGCTATGCTACCATCAGACGTCCATCATCAAACCACAAACAGTTTCAAAAGCTGTTTATACATGGAGATCCTGAACAAACGTAACCTGATTGTACAGAGCAAATAGTCTCGTGTGTCCTTATGGACAGAAACAGGACTATCTTATGTAAGAAACCACAAAAGGCAAATAAAACACGATTAACCAATTAAAGCTGAACTCCAGGTATGCTCTGTATTGTATACATATTGTGCCAAGCTGGACCATAGTAAGTGTGTATACCTCATACCTGAGGGTCTGATGGGGAAGCAGACAATCCACGTAGTAGTTGGTGCTACTACAGGGATAGGTCTGATCTTCTCAGTGCTGTGCCAGGCAGCTTTCCCTTTGCACACGGACCATGGGGGGGGGGGGGATGGGGGCTGCTCGCTTGGCACCATGCCAACTCACAGAAAACCTTGAATTTCTTAAATGAATACAAGGCATTTTCTGACTGGACGTAAGTGGAGAGTATGAGGTCAATCACTGCCCCTCTTCTCCACCATGTCTAATCAGAGAATGCCTTGTATTCCATAAAATAAATGAAGTACCTTCTTATATACAGAATTATGGGATTGAAGCACAAAACCTCAATGTTCAAGTCCAAAATTGAAGATGTCCCAAATATAAATTGTACATGAAAGCCTACACATTTCAGGGGCCACAAACCATCCTCTTTATCAAGACTTGCAAAAACTAAGATACCAAGTACACAGAATCAAGTAATCAAAGCGGCTTTGGAACAGTGCATTGGCATAGTGGCCTTCAGTAGCTGGTAGCCAGCAATGATGTCATCACTGGGTCTATGTGCTTCTCTATGCAATGCAAGCAGATTTGGACTGAGAAGCTAGCAGGGTGCTGTACATAGCTTCCCGAACTAAAAAAAAAAATAAAAAATTGCAGTACCCTGACTCAG